CGAAGCATCCATCTTCGATGAAGATATCCAGTGGAGCGACAATGTCAAATATCTGGGGATCGTTTTTGACAAGTCCCTCACCTGGAAAGCGCACATAGAAGCTGTCATCGCAAAAACCAGAGCAGCCATGGCTCAACTCTATCCATTACTGGGTAGACACAGCCAGATGCCGCTAGCGACCAAGCTACGGCTGATCAAGGCCATCGCCAGACCTCAGCTCGCTTACGCCTCCGCGGTCTGGGGGTACGCTGCCCCCAGCTACCGCAAGCGACTTGCTGCTCTAGAGATGAAGCTACTCCGGATCGCCACCAATGCACCTTCCTACGTAAGGAACTCAACCTTGCGTAGAGACCTGCATTGGGATACCATCCACGAGTACATGAGGAAAAAAGCGGAGAAGACCTTCGAGAAAGCTCAGGACCACCCGAACGAGCAGCTACGATTCCTCATGGACTACGATCCGGACGAGAGGCCTCGCAACCGCAGAACCAGGTACCCCAGACCAAGGTCCCAGTTGGCACCCGCTAACTGGAACCTTGACTAGGAGACTAGGAGAATTTGCGGCTGCTCCCCCCCCCCCCACGGCGTGGATGCAGAGGACCAGGAACCACCGGGACCAGGACCCACCGGGACCAGGACCAACCAGGACCCGCCACGACCAGGACCCACCAGGACCAGGGCCCTTCAGGACCAGGACCAGGAACAACATATTGGTAAGATGACTTGAAACTCTTGATTTTTCGAAAACAAGAGTTTCAAGAGAAACTAGCAGACCCTCTATCGATGATCGCTTAACGACATCGATAGAATGTGCGAGGTAAAGGGAACCAACCCGGCGTTCCCAGAGACTGAAACACATGAGGAGACGTTGTAGCAGACCGCAGGTCACGCACAACACATGGCCTACCGAGACGCTGATGAGTCGGGCCACGCGGAGGTTTAGGGTTTAGTGGGTATTAGGTGATCTCTTCAAGACCCTGGAGCCCCACACACGTCGTAGCTCGTGCTATGGTATGGTGCGTAAATGCATTCCCCCCTCGTTAAAAAAAAAAAAAAAAAAAAAAAAAAAAAAAAAAAAAAAAAAAAAAAATTTCTGGACATTGAAGTAGTAGTGGAAAGATTTATTTAGCACATTTAGCTACATAAACCGAATAATTGTAAACAACTTAGAACTAGTAAATTCAAGCAATATGGTGTATGATGTATACTAAGTGACATATAAATCCGAACACCCAGTTTAAATGGTTTTATTTTAATAAAATTTTGTATAAGTACTTCATGAAGCATAATAAGTAAATGATAAAAATTTCAAAATGATTGCACTGCTTTAAAGCCCTTTGACCTTTAATAATGTGTGGATGCACCCTGATGTGCTACGCATTCTCCAACGCGCCTAGGCATGCTTCTGATCAGGTGGTCAATGTCCTCCTGTGGTATCTCATTCCAGGCAACCACCAACTCCTCTCGAAGTGCTTCTAGAGTCTGAGGAGGACGTTGCAAATTGGGCAATCTCCTACTCATCATATCCCACACGTGCTCAATTGGGGATATGTCGGGAGATCTTGGTGGCCATGGTAACAATGTGACATCATTATGTTGAAAGAAGTCTATTGTGACTCTTGCAACATGTGGTCGGGCATTATCTTGTTGGAAAGTTGGATCTGCCAGAGTGTCAAGAGAGGGCAAAAGATGGGGTTCTAGAACTTCGTGGATATAACGCTGCGCGTTCATGTTACCTCTGATGAAGATTAAAGGTGACCTGGAACCATAAGCTATAGCACCCCAAACCATAACTCCAACAGTGTGATGAACATGTCTTTCAACAAAAAACTGTGGATTCCTCCTTTCACTACGTCGCCTTCTAACCCTGGCACTACCATCGTGCATGCCTAAACAAAATCGAGACTCGTCACTAAAGACAATACTGTTCCATTCCTGATCCCAGAGTGACCGTTGTCTGCACCACTCAAGGCGATTACGTCGGTGTTCTCGAGTTAAAGGGAGGACCCAGTGTGGCCGGTATGAAAACAAGCCAAAACTTCTCATTCGTCGGTAAACACTTCGCATGCCAATAGGTCTGCAAACCATTCATTTGCAATGGACCTGGTAGTGGAGAAACGGTCCCTTAAGGCCAATAATCAAGGCGGCGATCTTCACGGTCTGTTGTTCTACGGCGGCGTCCAGTGCCACTTGCTCTTTGCGTACGGCCTTCTCGAAGCCATGCCTGACAACACCTAACCACAGTGTCTACACTTCTTTGCACTCTAACTGCAATTGCCCGAAAAGAAAGTCCAGTTTCCCGATGTCCCACTATACGGCCCCTATCAAACTCACTAAGTTGACGAAAGCGTACAGGTCTCCGTACTCTAGGCATCGTAACCGATCGTAAAGGATGTCAAGAACCAAAATCCGCCAACGTTGATTCTTTACTGCGGCTGAAATATTCATTTTTAGAGCGTTAGTGAATTAAAAGAAAGCAGTATAAAAACCGGAATGTCCAACTGATAAGGCTGAAAATTTGTTCACTTGTTATTTATAGTAAGATAAATACATTCACCAACTTTTATTAAAATAAAACCATTTAAACTGGGTGTTCGGATTTATATGTCACTTAGTATAAATGCTGGGCAACCTATAATTGTAGATTTAACAAGTGATTTCTCAATTTTACTTTAAATTTTGTCAAAGTTTTCTGGTCTTTTACCTCTGAGTATAATTTATTATATTCAATCAACCCTTGATGGAATACAGACTTGTAGCATATGTTATACTTTTTGGTCATTAAATGGAAGTCATCTTTATTTCTGGTATTATGTAAATGATGGTCAACATTTGATGATGTTAAATTAGTTAGACTTGATGGAAATATATTATTTTTTACTTTATAAATGAATATCATTACAAGATATTTGATAAAATTTTTTACATTGAGCCATTTTAATTTGCTAAGCATTTGCCTAATTGGAGTATATTTATCTTTATTTAGTATTATTCTCATGCACTTATTTTGTAAAATTTGCAGTCTTTCAAAAATGGAATTATTTGCTAAATATAGAATAGTCGAACAGTACAAGAAATTTGGAAGAATGATGGTATTATAGATAATTTTTCTGCTATATGAACTCCGACATCCAGAAACTCTCGATAAATATCCCACTTTACTACTAATCTTATTTATAACTTTTTCATAATGAATATCAAAAATTAATCGAGAGTCAACAAAAACCCCCAGGTATTTAAAATTTTCTACGAATTCAATATCTTCACCATCAATATTCAGTTGAACATTTGTACATTGTTTTTTTCCGATTAACAAGGCTTTCGTTTTACTTGTATTTAATTTTAATCTGTTAGATGCTAACCATTTTGAGACAAGTTTCAAGTCTTCATTTATATAAGAGATACCAGTCTGAATATTTTTAGTACTTAAATAAATCATAGTGTCATCGGCGAAAATCTGAATTTTGCATTTTTTGACTATGGCAGGTAAATCATTTATGTATAAAATAAAAAGAAGTGGTCCCAGGATACTGCCCTGTGGAACACCAAACCTATTTTCAATTTTTGATGAAATAGTGTCATTAACTTTTGTAACTTGCATCCTTTTAGACAAATAATTTCTAAACCAATCTAAAACACTTCCTGTTATACCATATGCCTTCAATTTACCTAACAAAATATCTCTATCAATCGTTTCAAATGCCCTCTTCAAATCCAAAAATACTGTTATGACAACTTCTTATGGTTCTTCTCCAATTCTCAGACCACATACATTTTTAAACTTTCTACGTTATAAATATGCGCCAGGCTTAGAACTGGAACACATTAAGATGTCCATAAATCTCCTAGGAGACTGTCACAACAATTTCCTATATTCTTATAGGGTACAATAAACGCAAGGGAGAGGGTATAAAGTTATCACGTAGCGGGCATAACCTTAGGATATTCGAACTCTGTCTTATATTTCCGAAGCAAAAAAATCAGCATAATATACTCAAGGAGTAGTAGAGTCCTTGTCATTTTATACTCACCTAGCCATATGAACGATCTAATAGCATACCAAAACGTATTTTGAAAAGTCCATTCTTCAGGATAGAAGTTTCCAAAAAAGCATAGCATCCTGACATTAATGCCGACAATTTCTTTGAAATCATACGTCATCTTTCCAGACATTCAACTGTCTCGCATGCTATGAATGTCCTGATTATGGACTTACACGGATCTAAACTTATATATTTTGAATGAACTTGTGAAATTGGCATCATTTATGAGAAAAGTTTTGAATACCAATTATGTTAATGACGGCTTTATTCGATTGTTTTTATTCCAATTTGAAGTTGTTATATGTCATAATGAGTACTCGTGGTTTTGTTTGTATAGACGTGCAGACAATCCACTGAACAAAAGTATACATTATTTCAAGATGTGTGTCATACATTTACATGAAATATTGAGTGCATTGGTCGTGTCTCCATATTGACATTAGCTGGCAAACTGGGATTTCAATTTTGAAGATACGACGAATGAAATACTTAGGTACATACAGAAACAGGGCGAGTTAAAAATACCTAGACTAGTTGAGTAAAACATTTTTTATTAAAACCAAAAGTACACAGATTTAACAAAACTTGTGTCAATAGTGCCCGATTTCACTAGTTCGGGGCGCAAAATGTCCGCCTTTTGCACAAATTCAGCCAATCAGTTCGGCTTTAAATCAATCAATACTTCATGTATAACCTGCTTTACGTATAAAAACCTATTTTTACACTTGACCCGAGCACAACATTTGCGACTAGGAAACAATTTCCACCAATCAAAAAGAAGATTCGACCAAATTGTTAAATAATAAGCATTCTGTAATTTTATTCATCTTCCAAGAATTTATTAAGAAGACAAAAATCAGTGATCTAGATTGACCGAACTGACACAAACTCCAAACAAACATTTCAAGTTATAAAATTAAGTTAAATCGACCAAAAAATAGGTTAAAAATATTGCATGATCAATTTAACTTCCAAGCTTTGGTTTTTTTCTCAAAGTGGGGAATAAAACCAAAGTAATTTAGAAGGATATAAACAACTATTTAGGTTATTTTGTGGTGAAAGTAGTAATTTTGTTCTATAAAATCACATGTCTGACCTATGTTTAACAACAAATGAAACATACTATGTCCCTCCTTTTGCTCATACATTTAGCTTGCTGGTAATCTATGCGCATGTTGGGTCTCTTTTAATAACTTTAGGCCTCTTCCGGCTTAAATTTTCATTAAATATCAGTGAGAGGCAGGGGGGTAACCAGAAGAATCCTTGTAATCTCAAGCTGTACAATAGGGTTGTTTTTTACCAATCTATGTTGCAAACTTAAAATGAATTTTTATTGGTCATTAATAAGATAATTTTTACTTACAAATATGTCCACTGAGGGCATATTTTATGTTAATATTTGGTAAGCTATAACCTGTCGATTTGTCTTCGAAGTCAATAATTAAGTACTTCAAGTTTGTTTTTGTAGTTCTCAACCAACCAATTTAACCTCCTTGGTCAAAGCTAATTTGGTAGGCAGTTTCCAATTTTTGACAAAGGATTCAACTCTCAAGACAATTCAACTTTTGAGGACATCATTCATGGATATAATTAATCACTAAAATTTGTCAAATGTTGGTATCTTTTTCTTGGGTAATATCAAATTTTAACAAAATGCTAGATGGGCTGTAATCCTTCTTCTCGATTGGTCGAATTTGCGCCTACGTCGACTGGGGTCAATTGAGGAAAATAGGTTTTTGTAGCTAAACCAGGTGGTTTATGAACAATTTCTTAATTTAATATGAGAATTATGGGCTCGTATTTTGATTACCGGGGGTCATTAGTAAAATCAAATAATCATTTGTTCTTGAGTCTAAGAAACAGTAATGTCATAATCAGAAATGTCATGATCCATGCGCATGTAGCTATAAATCCAAGGTAGACATCCGACCACCCGAAGCCCCAGCCTCGCAGCATTATGGACCTCATCGCTGTTGTGGCCAATGTTAGAGGCATAAGTAGAGCAAAATATCTGAAATTATCAATTTATTATATTTTATCATAAAATAGGCCATTGAGTCATTAAATATATACAGGGTGACTTTGAAGTTGAGTCATTAATTTTCAGATAATGATTGTAGAAGGAAGATAAACCAAAATATGTGTGTAAAAATAAAAAAAAAATTAAAAAAATTTTTTTACCTTGTTTTATAAAGTATCCTCCCGACAAGTATTTCAGTGCGGACCTGTATTTGATCGTGAGGTCCCCTGTGAGGTCTTAAGTCACCTGATTCACGAGCCCGTTGTACTACATTAACAAAGGCACGAGGGGTTGGTTGCACTCGATTGGGAAACCGATCCGCATAAACATGTGCCATTTTTTATTTCGTTTGAGCCACGCAACAGACACTATTCACACGCGACACTGACACTGACTGTATGTATAACTGAACTGAATAAAATAATAAACTGTACACAAACATCGTTCCAAATTCTTTCGCTTTTTTGTTTCCGATGCGATGAACCGGTAAGGCGGATTATATCCGTTGTTGCCAAACACGAGCACATGATATTGAGACAGGGCGGTACTCAAACTTCCAAAGGGCTATAACTTTGTTACTTTAATTTTACCAGAAAAATGGTAAAGGAAAAAAACATTTCTTTTGATCAGATCTATTCACTGTTAAAATAAATGACTCAACTTCGAAGTCACCCTGTATATATATATATAAATATAATGATGCCCAAACATATGTTGTGCTTGTACGTTCACATACGATTCGCTTAGAAGTAATGGAAGTAGATTCCATATTTCATCAGAAAAAAAATCTTTATTCTTAAAAACATGACATCAACCTTCTAAGGAGAGGCAACTCCTTAACGTCCCCAATGATTACTCCTAACATTTTGCATTCTCAGAATTTCTCAACGACCTAAAAGGAAATCCCATAACCTGCGGCAACGGTCCGAGAGGTTGCAAAGGCAATATTATCTCAAAATTCCCTAGTTCGACTGGACTATGGGATTTTCTGGCATTGAATCGAGAATGGACAGCTCGACATTGATTGGTCGATTTAAACGGCCGGATGTTACAGCTTCCATACAAGAGACTGAGTGGACATCCAGATACCAGGTTTTTTAGTACCCTCACGTGCTGTGCTCAGGTGTTCATGTGCTCAACTTTATTTCCTTAGACTAACACATAGCAGGATGCTGAACAAGGAAATTCCTTGCATTTGGGGATATACCTGAGAGGGGGATTTTGTATTCTGCCTGAGGCGATTCTAATTAGGATATAGGATCTCGTTTTTCAGCCAAGGGGCTACGTGGCCCGCCATTTTGTCAAGGCCTAGTTGTACAGCAGAGAGTTGGCTTGGCTTTTAACACAGCTAAGATAACAATCAGCTATGAAATTCTCCTGTCACTGTCAAAAACGACCAACATTTCGGCGGAGAAAGTCGAATGTAAATTCCCCCAGTACAACGACGACAGAGGCTTTAGTACTCAGCAGCGGCAACGTATCATGCCAGCGGTCGCAGATATTCTTTGCTATCGAAAAAATCACACTATTCCGATATGATCTGGTATAGATTGTGTGAATCAATAATAAAAAGTAATATGTTTGTTCAAAAAGATTCGATGACGTATTGATGACTATTTATTTATAAAAAAGTTTTAAAAGTTCGTATTGGTGGAAGTATTTACAAAAAACAGAAAAACATTTTACTTTACTTTTACTATGCATTCTTTGCTGCTGCGATATTCTCAATCCATCCATTTTCAATGTAAATACTGTTAAAACACCGCAATCAGACTTGACACTTCTGACGACTCCTCAACTAGGATGCCCCTACATACACGGTGAATTCTTAATGCGTAACCGGTCGGTAGTTCCGATATTTTAAATACCCCAAAAAGTTGGAAAATATGCCGCAAAGACACCAAAATTATGTGACTGACTGACGGTAGTATTTGTCTGGAGTTTTTAGCACTCTCACATTGAAAATGCAATTGTATTGATTACATATATATGGCAGCAGCGTAGAATACATAGCAAAAGTAAATATTTTTTCGTTTCTTGTAAATACTTCCACCTTAAGAAATTAATTTAGAGGCATTTTCATAAATAAATAATCATTGGTTGCTGCTTTTTGGGCCAACATACTCCTTTTTATTATCTACACAAACACACAAACCTCACTCGAAATAAAGGCCGTATCGTCAGTCGTTCCTAAAATTGTAGGACGCCTTTATGGTCTCCCTGATTTTCATAGTTTCCTATTCCGTGTCAGCGTTCTATTTTGAGGTTATGTCACAAATATTTCCATTTGCATCAAATTGTTCATGCTTTTGATTTATATCAGCTGTTTTATCAGCCTGAAATTTCCTGCAATTCAAAAAGAAAATATTCACAATAGGAGAGCGCTGACGCTAACACGGACTAGTAGAAATCTAGAAATACTCCAGCCTTTTTGAAGGAGAGAAAAGACTATGAAAATCAAGGAGGCCATAGAGGCGTCCTGCAATTGTATGAACGACTGACGATACGGCACTTTAACCTCTTTCATCATTGTACTAGGGGAATTCTCATGCGATTTTCTCCTTCCAAATGGCGGTCATTTTTGACAATGACAGGATAGTTTCATAGCTGATTGTTATTCAAGCTGTGCTTTTACTAAGGGGAGTAGGAGGTAGCAGCTAGGGCACCTAATAGATGTTCAATCCTGCATGGTCGGCAGAAGGTGCCGTAGTTACAGAAGTGCGGGGGTCACCGTCAGAGTCATCTCAGACTATTCAAAACGGACGCCCAAGTTGAGTTTCCGGAGCTATTATTAATAATTGGTGCATTTAATTTAGCGGTCATATTTTAATTATAGGTGGCGATTCGGTACTCAGGTTTAATGATAGTTTGGGCGTTTGTGCTTTACGTTTGTATTATATAATTAAATATATCATAACTGTCCATTTGTGAATTTTTACGGAATTTTTCATTAGAAAGGCGAAAAGAATTCTGCATTTCCTTAACCAACAAATAAACCTTGGATAAACGACGGGGGGTTCTATTTAGCCTCCCTCTATCTATTACAAGGTGGCAACGTTAGCACTTACACGAGATCAATTTTATCAATCTTCATTACTGGACTTAAGTAATCTGAATTTCAAGAAATCAGATTTAGTTTATGTAGAAAAGGAATAAGAATTCAAAACAATCAAACGTGTTGATAAAAAGCTGCCGTTGATCATGGTTCCACAGACAGAGGAAAACATGCCTATTTCAGTCAATAAGTAAACTGTTTAAATTGGAGCAGGTAAACTCATTTTGATAGTTCATTAATTAATAATAAATTGGTGCACTGAATCTTAGTGGACAGTTGAGTAAAATTAATTAAACAATTGTGTTATGATTCAATTAAATTAGATTCAAACAACTTTTTAGAAAAAGTAGTTTTCTGAGGCTAAATATGTCTGTTAGTTGTCGCATAGTTGATTATCCTTTTTAATTGGATCAACTAAAACTTCTAATTGGTTCTTTTAAACTTTTTTCTCAGTGTAGTAAACACGTATATACTGCTGATCAAAATCGTTTTCTTTTTTAGGTTTCCATGTGTACGAAAGGGAGAGGGAGAGAAAGAGAGAGTGAGATAGAAAGAGTGCGCCATATAATCGTTGAAACCACTTTGCCTAGCAACAACGGTGGGGAAGGACGCGGAATGTGGCTGTAACTCTTCCCCCACCGTCGTTGCCAGGCAAGGTGGTGACCACGCTTATATGACGCACTCTGTCTAAACGTTTCACTCGCTTCTCTTTCTCGTATACATGGAAGTCTAAAAGGGGAAGCGACTTTGGTCAGCACTGCATATTTGTAAGCACAAGTGATTGACAGTGCTGCGAGCGCCGGTAAAACTTTAAATTGGACCTGGTGTCTTCTGGTCTGTTAATTACCTTAGTCCCCACGGCAATGCCTCAATAGGCCATAAGACCCCGCTGATCATCAAAGTGGGGTAGAAACTACCCAACGCCAACTGAGCAGCGTCTCTTTCCTGAGTGCAAACAGCAGAGATAAGAAAACCGAAACTCATTCCGCACAATCCTTGGAGCAAGGTCAAGGCCACGACGAGTGCCAGATTGCCGATGCACTTTAGTTGGAAGATGGCGAACATTACGATCAGAACCAGGACTGTTTGTCCCAGCATGATTATGAATTGGGTCAGAACGTGACAGACGAGGATTTCAGCTGGACCAATACCTGTTTGGGAAAGAATGAAGTATTAGTTATCATTCATTTGAACTTAAAATGAATTACCGATCAAAGTTTTTTGACGAACATAAGAAATAACTCCAACTGTTCAACTTCCCAAACAGAATCAATATCGTTTTAAGAAAACGCCCTTACTTTTGCATAATGGTTATGTTTATTATCACATTTCTACGTGTTAAATCTGAAATTTTCCTGACAGCATTCTGTAACATACTGTACCAGGTGTGTCGTATTCGATCCTCACCATTGGAATCTTGAAAATGGTAAAGGATACGAAGACCCTTAAATGGGGGTAACCAACAAAATGCCGCTTAGAAAGCTTCGAAATTCAAAGTACTTCCGGAGAGGGACGAAAAAAGCCAAATTTTCCGAATATCATTTTAATTTTTTCCAGACTTATGGGGTATTGGGATTTTAAAATAAATTGGACATTAATTAGCTTTGTCACTTTTCTTCCTTCATAAGAAGGCGTAATTAAAATTGCGATATGATGACTTGTCTCTTGTCCTCCAGCATCAACTTTATTTTTTCTTATAAGTAGACGCCATGTTGGATCTTTGCACAGATAAATAGAGTTTTCAATTCATAGTAATACAGTTTGGAAGACTGAGAAGAAGAGAAATGAACGGACCAGCGAACAATGTACAGAGGAGGCATGCTTTGCATACAAAATAACGGACATCAGTTTGAACATCTGCTATGATTTACCTCGGGTTATTTATGATTATTGTTGTTATTTACATCAGTGAAATTTCCATTTTGTATGTCTAACCATACCTTTTTATGTAATTACGATTTTCCTTCAAAGAACAAACTTTTGGCCAACTAAGGAAATACAACACTGAATTTAGGAACGAAACGTCATATTGAAATTCTAATTATGCCATCTTGTAGAAGAGAAAAAGTAGCAATGCTGAACGTAAAATTATTTTTGAAATCCCACTATAAATAAGTTCCGGGAAAAATTAAAACGATTTTGTGAAAATTCGGTTTTTTCCGTCTCTCTCCGGAAGCCCTTTGAATTTCGAAACTCTCTAAGCGGTATTGTCTTAACTACCTAAATACGCAACTTTGCCTCCATTTACGCGATTTCGTATCTTCTACAGTTTCCGAGATCCGAATAAGGGTCGAATTTGAAACACCAGGTATGTTCCAATGATTTACCTGCAACATATGATCTGTCCAAGAGTCCTTCCTGCTTCTCTGTTATCAGTACCGATGACGTCACTGCTACAGCCAGAAAGAAGACGATTCTACAAAGAAATTGAACATAATTTAAATAAAAATTACGAAACTTTTCTCAAGCAACGTAGGACATGGTAATATTGGCTCGACGCTGCCCGTCCAACAATTTTTCTATTCTACTCGTCGTTGCTTCTCAAGGCCGTCCGGATGACCTTAGCCTTTATGTCATAGTCATGTCTGTTGTCAGTCTGTCAGGTCTGGTGGTCCAGAAATCAGACAAGTTGTAGTCCAGCAATGTGTGCTTTGTTATAACTGTAACATAACCTGCGATAACAGCCCGGAAGGTGGCAAGCCGCAATTGACAACCGCAATTAGCACATTCCTACAGCAATAAGATAATTATTGATTTGATGTAAGTTTACTGTGAGCGTCTTCAAGATCCTATTGATACTCCGCGAGTGTATTAGTGTATTCAGAACGTGCCGTCGTCCTCGATATTTCCATCCGAGCTGCGTAGGTTGGTTTATAACGTACAGAACCTGTCTGAGTGAAGACAGTAGAAGACCTAGACAGCCCCAAATGTGCAAAGGAAAAGGATTAATAAGACCGGTTTTCGACGTAAATTCACTTTGGATGAAAATGTTCAAAATCAGTTCCTGTAGTATCTACTAAAAAGACTAATTCGATTCCATCCCAAACGGACCACTCCACCTCACCTAGTGTCTCCCAACCACCGCTTGAAATAGTGAAAATACCAGCACCTAATAATAGCATTTTTGAATACATTCGTCACTGACAAATTAATACCATCTTAATAACATACTACTAAGTCTATTTTAACTATTTTTACTATTATTTATCACTTTTTACGTTTTTAACCCTTTGAGGAGAGTGTGGGGAGTGAAAAGGCAAGGGTTCTATTTTACTTGTTTGATATGCATGATTTTAGATGCATTTTTGTCACGAATCAGTGGTCAGTTTTGCTCTACCCTGCTTCAGTCTTCTGGAAATTATTAAATACACTCAGAGAAATGAAGACATTTTAAGAGTGATTGGCTCTGCGCATGCGATATATGATTTCGGAGTATTTTTGCCTCTGCACTTCCCACGCAACGCACATAAAGGATTATCTTCAGCACAAACCAGACCCTCAGAGAAAAAGTCAATCATATAGGTCCATTAACATTATTTCCCGGCCCTACCGGCAGTACATCTCACGCCTTAACCCTGTCAGACGTGTCAGCGCGGCCAGAGGTCAGAGCATAGCGTGTAATGCGGGTCCCACACGATGCTTCCAACGTTGTATATAACGTTGTGTACAACGTTGTTTACAACGTTCGATACTCCACAAGTGTGTCTCCTACACGATGGGATGAACTCTATTATCGGTGTCAATGTCGCGCTTGAAACTTTAAAACTGATGGAAAAATTATACAAAATGAACGATGGAACAATTGTTTCGTGCGCCGTAAAATAATGCCAGATCTGCCAAAACTTAAGTTTGTCAGAAGCCTAAGAAACGTCGAACGAAGTTTTACCGTTTTTTGTTTGTTTTTCGACGATAACTCCGCTGCTACTATCATTTTCATAGTAGTAACCTAGCGTCATAATTTCATCAAAATCCTGATCGTACAATATTTCTCAACTAGTCTTACATTGCAACAGGACATTATAATGAAACAACTGTAAGCATTTGATAATTTATAATTTACTAAAATACATATCCTTAGGCCAGCCATCACTCACCTGCGAAACGTACAAAATATTAGCAATATGAAAAATCTGTTGTTACGGCAGTCTATGCTTTGCATGTATACTAATTTAATTATAAATAATTCTCCTCAAACGTTAGTTACGGAACATACATTATTATGAATAGGTAGGTATACAAATCAAAATACTTCCCACATACCACTACTTCACCACAATCACAGCAAACAAGTAAATAATGTTTTTCGCCGCTACTGGTTCTAACATAAAACCATCAAATACATGACATCTCGTGTGAGACCGTAACGAACCATGCTTCTAACGTTGTAACGTCCTTTGACGCCGGTCAAATTTACCGACAAGAGCCCGAACGTGCCATGTGGTGAACGTTGGACACATGCAATCCGTGAGCGCTCTGTAGCGAATGGCCATGTGTCCAACGTTGTAAGGCATTCGCCACATCATGTGGGACCGTTGGCGTCAGGTAGGTACGCGATTTGTTTGCTGAGAATGTTTCCAAGCTTTAAGGAATAATGTACGGAGGTATGGAGAAATATATGATGTATGACATAGGAATAATAGGTGTGTAGAATTACCAAGGTTGGGAGCGTATAAATTTACTAACGTCAAAAATTTGATATAAACCCTCCCCATCCCCCTAAAAGCCCAACGTTCACCTCTAAAACGTCGAAAAGCGAAGTTTGGACGATTTTCATTCTGTTTTGTTTGTAGGTCTTTCTCTGCCGCTACTAGACCGATTTTCAAAAACTACTTTCGGTAAAGGTTTCATCGAAATCCGACTGGTATTTCTCAATTCATAGGCCGTTATAAAATTGGCACACAGAGCGACAGACAGTCAGACCGACCGACGGTAATGAGTGATGTTTTTTCGTGATGTATAGGGACCCATATCCGGAAAAGGGTCACTACAGCACTACGGCCATAAGACGCGTTAAAATTTCGAAAGACGATGAATTGCCTAAATAGGATTTAATGCATTTAATTTTTGCCTTTTGTACATGATATCATCACAACAATTGTTCAAAATGTCTTCCTTTAACCTGAATACACCGATTTAAACGTCGCACATGATTTCGGCGGACTTGACTAAAAATTTGATTTGATTTGAAATCATTAAAAACGAGTATCAAATTTTTAGTCAAGTCCGCCGAAATCATGTGCGACGTTTAAATCGGTGTATTCAGGTTGGAGGAAGACATTTTGAACAGTTGTTGTGATGATATCATGTACAAAAGGCAAACATTAAATGCATCAAATCCTATTTAGGCAATTCCTCGTCTTTCTTAATTTTAACGCGTCTTAGGGCCGTAGTTCCGTAGTGACACTTTTCCGGATATGGGTCCCTATACTCAAATGTTTTCTACTGCTACACTGAATAACCTCTATAAGTTTGATCCCATAGTTCTGAAACACCCTGTATAATTATTTTTGACTAACTGCTAAATAAACTGCACTTTAGAAATATTTTCAATATAATTTTATTCAAGCAACTTTATTTTGTAACAGGGTACCAAAAACAGCGAAAAGTCAACTTTTGAGAACCTCTCAAAACAGAAAAAAGTCCAAACTAGAAAGATCTTGAATTTAAAAAGAAATGCAAATTTCTAAATTATTAGGAAACTAGGGTTTCATGATGTTTTTCGTTAAAACAGTCCAAACACATTATCACAATCGTCGCAGTAGGTCATCATTCTCTTAGCTTTTGCTTCTTTTGACCTTCTTTCTCTTTGTAATTTATCGTGAGCGGAAGTACAGCGTTTTCCATTGTTCCTAGCATTACTTTAAATTTTCTTTATTTTATGTGTAGATTTTTTATTTGTGATCAATATACGGTCATATACATATGTTTTATATTTTTCTATTGCTTTTTATTCTTTTTAGTCATGTACCACCGGTGGTAGACGACCTCTCTGAACAACAAATATATGTCACAGCCGACGTGTACTACCGGTGGTACATGGCTTAAAACAATGTAACACAATCATGTTACACAAAAAATATTACGGCTGTGATTTAACACACATCCGAAATCGGCTACGTCGCGAACGTGTTGAAAATTCTATAACAATTCGTAAAAATACAAATTTTCGTAGAAGATAAACACCACCAGTATTTTTTTGTTCGTTCCTGCACGAAAATCGGTGAAATAGAGTTAGTAGTACGTTATTAAGGATATGTTAGCTTTCCAGGGACGAATGTTTCCAAAAATGCTGGTATTAGGTGATGGAATTTTTAATATTTTAAGGCGTGGTTGGGAGGCAAGGAGGGATAGAGGTGGTTTTTAGGGTGGAATTGACTTCGTTTTTTAGTATATACTACAGGAACTGATTTTGAATAGTTTCATCCAAATTAATTTAGGCAAAAAACCCACCTTATTAACACTCCTCCTTTTGGGAGAAGTAAACAATCTTGTGTTTTTGAATCTAACAGTGATAATCATCAACAAAGAATGTGACAGGGCAGTATTCAAAAAGCCAAACCAAATAAATAGTAAGAATTTTTCTTCAATTACCGCAAATTGACTTATTTCAAGCGTAGTTGTTACTGAAAAGGAAAGTCCCAACTTCACACACCTTGTATAGTTGTAAGAATGAGTGCTCGGCGACTACAGGGTACGTACGTGCATTTTCCCATAGGCTATGTAGACCAGTGGTGATACTCACATAAGGAGAGCTCCAGGAGCAGCAAAATCCATAAAAGAGGGCCTGTCAGTGCCATAAATAGGTGGGGACTGGAAGCCGACAACTGGTTTGGCTACATTAGGATGGACATAACAGTCTTTTAACATCCCAAGTGTAAAATTTTTGAAGCTTTCCTGAAGTTCTCTGTGGAGCACATATGCTATTTGCTGATCTACAAGAAAAAATGTTCAACATTTTCTCAAATACGTATATTGAAAATATGGGAATTTCTATTAAAAAAAAGAATCTTAACAAATTTATTTGAGTGGCATGTCCCATATTTTATTGCATATCCAGATGGATCCTTACAGAAGAAGATTATATGACACATTTTTGGGTGCATTTTGAAACGAAAACTTCATATTAATGTATGTCCTGAACGTCTTAACTTTGATATACAGGGTGGTAAAGTTTTTGTTGACAGATATTGAATTATTGGTATTAAAAATCATTCTTGAAACATCCCAGTATTTCTAAGCAAATTTGATTGATGCACGGTTTTTGCTTGAGACAATTAAAACGGTTTCTCTACATGAGGATATTTTTATATTGACGATATTGTTATGATCATGGAGAGAAACAGTTTTTTTTAAGCGAAATCCGAGAATCGCATAGGATTGAAAAAATTAAGGGTTCAGATTTGCCTGGAATTGCTTAGGGATTCGAGGAATAATATTTATTTTAAAATCAGTAACGTATCATCGATGTCTGCCAAAATAGGCAGGTGAAGTCTCGTACGAACGTGACTGGTGAAGTTAAAAACACGTAGAAGCGCCCTTGGATGCATAGTACATATATGCCAAATTTGATTAAAATATAAGTGATTTTACACATATTGATAATAAATGAATTATTTTTGAAAACTTTGTATAGCTTTTGATGATTAGTTATTGGGTTATAAGAGACTCAATGTATAAAAACTCTTAATATAGGCAACCCACCACTCCCCATTTTAAAAGATAGAGAACATTATATTTTCGGTCTATAGACTAATCTTAAACGACTTAAAAACGATTTAGCATCATTTCGATTAAAAAAATCAAACACGGCGCCCAGGCGCCATATTGAAATCTTCAAATGTCGTTTTCATCAGCAACCCGAATTTCAACTTAGTATATTGACTTTCAAGACAATACATGGGTAGGGGACATTAAAGAAAAGAAACATTTTCTTTAGGAACTTAGACCACGTTTGTGGGTTTCGAAGGGTCTTCTTAAAAAATGCCTTATCTTTTCACCTGATTGGTCAAGCCACACCTTTATGTCAGTATCTTCCAAAGTGATCCCTTCCAAAATCGCTTCAAGCAGGATATCAGTAATATTCTGTCCTCTTATAGCATGGTGCATCCGAAACGTCAAGGCTTGTGTAAAATTTTCCTCAAAATGCAAGCAGGCCCACGCGTCACCATTTTCTACTGCTCCTCTACAGCTATCCACATTTGAATAGTACCCTAAATTTACGCTGTCAGATGTCTCGAGGTACTCCAAATAGCGACAGCTTAGACTTTCTGCTTCGTCGATGTGAGTTATATTGTTTTTTACCTGAAATAAATATAAATAGCGTTAAGTAGATCAATTCTATATTTTCAAAGAAAGGGGATGAGTCAAATCGTTCCTAAAGGCGAAATCGAATCGTTATTAGGTAGGTTCACCTAGGTAAGATAAATCTTCGACATCTGCATATCAAAGTTTATGAATATAAAGCAAATCTATAATATTTCTGTTTCCGTTGTAGATGTATGGAAATATGAGTGACTTATTATGTCTAACAGGTGCATAATATCACTGAGATCAGCAGCTTTTTAATAATAGAAGGTCTTTCACTGACAAATATGCATGAGTATACTCACCGAGCATACCAACTTATGAGTACAGTGTGTTTCTGTTGGACTCACGTACTCTACCTCATTGTTAGCGATGGCTAAAGGCAGATCTCTTGGTTCGTTACCAATGCAGTAGCAGAACAGTACTACCTGGATTACTGGTAGGAGAAAAATGAAGAGCAGCGCCTGGAAGTTCCTGACTAGGCGCAATAGGTTCCTGAACATTATTGCCTTGAAACTCCTAGGATTAGTGAAGTGCCTCACGTCGTAGAGGAAGTTACCGCAACACCCGTAATCCTGTTGAAGAAAGCACTATATTATAAATTTACGTTTTGCTCCGCGGTTTCACTTGTGGAACGTGGAGGTGGCGCCTCTATTAAAGTAACAAAGTCTCCTAAGCATGCATGTTGTCTGTCAATGCCATCGAAGATGCAAAACGTCGCGTTACTTAAATATAATGTTTTGAGTTAAAAAAGACGTGTCTGTATCACTTGACGGTCACAGGTTGAGTGGGGCGATGGCTGACCGCGGTTGCCGGCTTGACGTTGATGTTGAAGATTTTGATACTTGCCACGATAGTTGATTGAAAATTGATCGCGAGTTCGCGGATAAAACCATGCCTATAACCTTCCTAGAGTATCAATTAGTTAGTGCACACATTTTTGCGATTCTCCATATTGTGGTATAGATGTAATGTTGGTAGGCTAGATAGACAGTAGATAAGATACCAGAGCACGCAGCATTAGAGTTTGCTAGATAACAGATAAATGCATTTTAAGCACCTAGCAGCATTAAAGATCGTATAACAAATAACCCAGTAACTACTTATTCACAGTATTATAGTTGAAGTAAAACAAAACATCAAATAAAACGAAATCAAGACGTTCACGCTAAGAAAAAGAATGTGCAGTAAATGCGTAATGCTAATGTCCTATTTATATACCCTTACTCATTTCCGTCGGATCAGCAACTGAACGCTTCCACACCATCCACCTCATGTCAAATTCCATCAAGCCGTTTGGGCTGTACACCGTGATATTAACATTTTAAAGTTTGTTTTCGGGATAAAAGGTAGCCTATGTGCTATTTCAGACTATAATCTATCTCTGTACCTCTCATTTATAAGAATATTAGGGATAAAATAAAAAATATTTCTAAAAACAACCTTTTTTTAATCAGAATCCAATTCGATTACCTGGCAAATGCACATTTTCTCAAAAAGGAAACAAATGGGCATCAAACTCAGAGAGATGTACTGGATGTAGAAAATCTAAACTGTCATTGGACAACAAGCTATTAATCTAGGATGCTTTGTTGAAAGCAATTTGAACGTATGGCATCTAGTTCAGTGGCGGATTTAGAGGGGGGGGGTAATCTAACACCATTGTGTTACTTTCTGACACAACATGGCGACAGGTATCCTTTGGTATTCCAAATACTACCCTCTTTGACATCACATAGGTTTACAGCGCAAGTCTCACGATTTATGCGTATACAAGGTGTAAAGTTAGTAGTGGATCAACAGAAGTCAGGTGATAGACGTCCTCAAAACCTATCGAATGAACCCCTATATGTGTGGTCCGAAATTTTATAGTTCAGGAGATATTTGCAATTTTGTGAAATTTCGAAAAAAAAAACGGGAAAATGAACTTTCAATCACAATGACAACTAAACCATTAGGTTTGGAGCTGTGATTTCTTTTGAGATGAGCTAAATGGTTAGTTTTAGCAATGGTTATGTATATTTAACAGAGCTAATTAGAAATCAACACAAAAAATCTTAAATTCATTTGTTTTGTAAAAAATCTCTTCCATTTCTCAACTTTGGAGGGCGGTAAAAAACTGAGGCTGTATTTCATTATTTATTTTACTGTAAAAACTATTTCAATCCATGTAGAATAAACCCTGAAAATTTCAGCTTGCTACGATGAGTGTATCATGTCACATTCGTTGTTGTGATGCGATAAACGTAAGAAACGCAATAGAATCCTTACCAGCTACAAGTACGGAACCTATTGTGTTTAACCGCTCTTTATGGCGATTTACCGACAAATGTGGAAGATAATTTATTTTATCTAACTTTTAAAGAACATATTCGAAATGGCCTCCATTATTTTCTATACACAAGCGGTACCTTCTAACAAAAAGGTTCCTTTAGTCTTTGAAATGAACTGGCGTTTTCCATAATTTTAATTTTTGCTTCATCAATTTTCTGGCGCAGTTGGTTGCATTTTTATATTCAGATATATAGATTATCCCCTTATGAAGCCCCCATATAAAAAAATCTATAGGATTTAAATCGGGTGACCTTGGAGGCCAACGTATGTGTCCACCTCTACCTATCCAACGTCAGGAAAGGCTCTCTCTAAGTCTGAGTAATGTCGTACATCCCGTGTGAAGTGGCATGAGGCACCATCGCATTGAAAATACATGCGGTTTAGAACGTCCAAAGGTACATCCTCGAGCAGCTCATGCAAACTGCTTTATAGAAAAGCAAGATATGACTGACCATTCAGCCTGGCGGGCAAGTCATATGGTCCAATTAATTTTTTGTTGAGTACTCCAGCCCATAAATTAACGCCGAACTGACGTTGAAAGCTGTGTCCGAATAGGTTGTGGATTTTCCACGCTCTATGAATGGAAATTATGCACGTTGAATATTCCATCTCGGTTAAAGTTGGATTCATCTGTCCGCAAGATGCTGTCGAAACAAGTTTCATCCTCTTCGCACCTTCTCAAGATATTCTCACAAAATTCAACCCGTCGTTGTGCATAGTGGCTTGGAAGCAATTCTTGTACTTTTTGTACATGGTAAGAATGCATGTTCTCTGAGCGTAGTGCACTGAAGTACGGTGGTTTGGCAATGGTTCTGGTGCTGTATAGAGCGATCTCTCTTGGCTGCTACTATTATATCTTCTATTTCTTCTTGGCTTATCTACCGCGCTCCTAGCTGACGAGTAGTGCCTAGTATGCGGCCCTCCATATAGTCGGGATATACCGCCGGTTGTGGTCCACCTCTTCTAACCACATACTCCCGATATATGCGAGCAGCTGCTCGAGCATTTCCTAGGGCAGCATCATAATAGTGATCCATTTCCAATCTCGCGGAAAATATGACATGATTCTACTCAGACTGCGTGACTTAGTAATTTCGGTCAGACCGAAGATTGAACGCTCCCGCACCTGGAATGCCGAGTTGAATGCACAAGCCCATTAAGCTGATTTGGCTATTTGCTTAAAAAATCCGCCATTTTTATTTTAGAAAATGTTAATATACACAGTATCACTCGCACTGCTAGGACGAAATTAACAGTACCTCATGTGTCAAAATCCATCAAGTCGTTTGGACTCGTAAAATTCAATTTCTTGTTTACATGTATAGATACCCCCCTGCGTCAAACATACAGATTCTTTAAGCAGAAATTTTCAGGGTTTATTATTCTACATGGATTGAAATAGTTTTTACAATGAAATGAATAATGAAATACAACCACAATATTTTTTACCGCCCGCCAAAGTTGAAGGATGGGAGAGATTTTTCACAAAAAAATGAATTTAAGATTTTTTGCGTTGATTTCTAATTAGCTCTGTTAAACAGTGGCATAACTATTGCTAAAACTAACCATTTAACTCATCTCAAAAAAAAATAATCACAGAACTAAACCTAATGGTTTAGTTGTAATTGCGATTGAAAGTTCATTATCCTGTTTTTTCGAAATTTCACAAAATAGCAAATATCTCCTGAACTATAAAATTTCGGACCACATATATAAGGATCAATTCGATAGGTTTTGAGGTCTTCTATCACCTGACTTCCGTTGATCCACTACTAACTTTACACGAGTATTGTGACTTGTGACAAATCTGACTAAAATATTAGCTGTATAGATTGCACTTAAAAAGTGTTCTGTTTGTTGCTCAATACTAATTTGAAAAGTTTGTAAAGCTTGACTGATCTTCTTAGGGGTTGGAGTTTCAGCGAAGCACTATCTTAGATGAATGCCTAAATTTCAAATATATATTTATGAGATTTGTTTAGCGGTGCGCCTGTGGCCTGACCAGAAACTGCGCCAATCGATGCTCAGTCAATACCACACGTCCCGCATCTCTTCCCGCGTATGTGTCTATTTATGTTGCTATATTGAATTCGTTTAAATCACAGAACTTCTGCACTACACGTGAATATACAGGGTGTTTCAGTTTATTGTTGCATAACTTTAAGATTCGATAGAACTTTTAAAAGTAATGCATAAAGTCTATATAAACATGGGTCGAAAAATGCGGGGCTTTCGAAATATAGGGTGTTTATATTTACTTTCTAAAATAGTTTTTTTTAAATATTTCGAACAATATTTGATGTATAACAGTGAAAATTGGTATACAAGGGTTTTTTGGTACGACAAAACGAACCATGGGCATAGTTTTACTGTACTCTCTACTGTCCTGTAGTGTATTAAACTGACCGAAATTTTTTTCTTAGTGCAATTTTTTGCTTTTTGAATAAAAAAACTGATTCTTCGCACTTTTCAACATAAAAAAGCTCTCCTGTGAGTTTTTGTTATAGTTAGCCGTTTTTGAGATATTTCGATTTTTAAGGTTCGATGCATTTTTAGTCATTTGTGGGAAAATAATATTTTTTTTACATTTTCGATTTGGGCATTATAAGTAATTAAGATGATCGTTTAGATTGTGTTTTTAAACACACCAATAATTCCTAACTCCAAATAAACACAAAAAAACAGAATATTAATTTGTTTAATTTTCCAATATTATTTTTAACAAATTAAATTAATTATTTACAACTAAAATGCTATTGGATAGTTAGGAAAAACATACAAAATCTAAAGTAGTTGCTCGAAATGTAAACCCAATTGTTCAATACACAATTCACAGCTACGAATGATTGAACGTGGTATAGCATTATTCAAATAAGGCCTTATTTGATCACATGCATTCCTGATTCTGTCTATTAACATATCTCTTGTGGTTACGGGAGTCTGGTACACTTTTTCTTTTAGAAATCCCCACACAAAGAAATCTAATGGATTTAGGTCAGGGGATCGTGGAGGCCAGGCGACTGATCCTCCACGGCCAATACATCTTTCTGGATAATTTTCGTCCAGCCAGTTTCTAATTATTCTCGAATAATGAGCTGGACAGCCATCAAGCTGGAACCAGGTCAATCTTCTTAAATCTAACATAACATCATCACACATATTTGCATGTTCAGCATTTAAAAATTTCAAGAAGGTCGCAGCATTTAACCTTGCAGGCAAAAGGTAGGGTCCAAATAGTCGATTACGGTAGATACCAATCCACACGTTCACACTAAATTCATGCTGAAAATTTCTTTCCCGAACTGCATGCGGATTTTCATGCGACCAAATATGTTGATTATGAAAATTTACCACTCCACGTCTAGTGAAGCATGACTCATCGGTCCATAAAACGTTACTTAAAAACTCCCTATTATTATCAGTTCTATCAAGAATCTACTGACAAAATGTGATTCTTCGTTCTCCGTCCCCTGGCTTGCACAGGTTGCAAATGGTAAGGACGTCTATGGTCATTTCTAAGAACACGATGAACATGGCTTGCTAAAATTCCCAAGGCACCAGAAACTCTCCTAACACTTGTGGTCGGATCTCTATCAAACTCACGCAGAATCATACGGGTAAATCTGCGCTGACGAACATTTATGTTTTGATCCCTGTGGAGATTTCCAAAACCATGTTCAATTATTTGGCGATGCACTCTTACAAATACTGAGCGAGTGGGATGTCGTCTGTTTGGAAATCTTCTTGCATATTCTCTGGCTGCTTCTGCTGCGTTTCCATTTACAAAGCCATACACAAAATGAATATCCGCTAACTCTTGATTGGAGAATAAAAATGGCTTATTTATAAAACTTACAAAAAAAAAACAGGTAAAAGAAACTAAATTTCGTGTATTCACAATTGCAAAGAAACGTTTCAGGTTTCAACAGACAACAAAAGTAACTGTCAACTAATTGACGTTTAACCTTATTCTGCTTTCAATTTCAAAAATATTTGCAGGCACAGCCTACTTATAAAAATTATCGAGATACTGACTTTTTAACGTTATTTTATCATAAATAATTAAAAATTCATCGAACCTTAAAAATAAAAATATCGCAAAAACGGCTAACTATAACGAAAATTCACAAGAGAGCTTTTTTATGTTGAAAAGTGCGAAGAATCAGTTTTTTTATTCAAAAAGCAGAAAATTGCACTAAGACAAAATTTTCGGTCATTTTAATACACTACAGGTACAGTAAAGAGCGCCCTCTAGCGGCTACAGTAAAACTATCCCATGGTTCGTTTTGTCGTACCAAAAAACTCTTGTATACCAATTTTCACTGTTATACATCAAATATTGTTCGAAATATTTAAAAAAAAACTATTTTAGAAAGTAAATTTATGCACGCTGTATTTCGGAAGCTACGTATTTTTCGACCCATGTTTATATAGACTTTATGCATTCTATCGAATCTTAAAGTTATGCAACAATAAACTAAAACACCCTGTATACAGCCGTGTATCCATGTGCTTGTTTCTTCCAAACATACATTATAAAAATAATTACGATCAAACAAATATACTTTTTTCCAAAGATTTCGTCCATTTTTACATGCGATCTACACCGATTCGAAAACTGAGAAAACAACAACTATGCCGTAAATCTAAGTGCGATAACGAAAGTCTGAAAAATAACTGTAACATCTATATTGAATTTCAAAAAATAATTGACTATACCTATTGATATTTTTATCACCTGCTGATATAATAGTGCTTGATTGAGTTAAGTATTTGCACCATTTACTTGATTTGTTTAATGGGCAGTTCAGAGTCTTAGCACACACTAGTAGACCTCGTTGTGCAACTTGTCTATAGGCAGTCTAGAGACGGTCTCAAGACACGATCTATAGGTGGTCTATAGACATCCTTCTTTGTCTCGTTTAGCGTCTATACGATAATGTGAATTTTTCGGTTTCATATTCGTTTTTGCCGTAAAAGACATTGTATTGTGTGGAATGGACTGGGATAATATGTCTCGGTGTCCCTCAGAATGTTTTTTTTTCGATTAACAGAACAGTTTTTTATGTTTTAATCTTTAATACTATTACACTAGTTAATTATAAATGCCACGTACTTATTTTGTTCTCATATAATAAAATATTGCCTTTCTGAGGATATCTGCGCATTTTCCATGTTTTTTTTGTCAAGCTGGACTTGACCAGATAGAACACACTGGATTTAAGGAGCAATAATAGGATGAATTCTAGAAGTTCCTCTGAGGTTGAAAAATGACCAGCCTCAAATATCGAAATCCTGAATCCGCCCTTGATCTAGTTGTGAGGCACATAGAGCGACAGGAGTATTGCCATCCTACAGCGGTTGCAGAACAAGGTCCAGAAAACGATATTCGATGCACCATACTACGGCAGTAAGGCCAGAACACTTACCAAGCATTTCTATGTCATTCCAAGTTTTAAGGGCAAATGTACGGAGAAATCTATTATATTATGTGACATGGATCTAACAGGTGCGCAGAACTACCGAGGTTGAGAGCGTACAAGCATACTAAGATCAAAACAAATTGAGATCTTCTACCCCCCAATCATTTGCCCCAAATTTCGTCAAAAATGCAAAAAATACTCTAAAACGTCAAAAAACGCAGTTTGAGCGATGTTTTTTTATTATTGGCTTTTTCCTACGTCGCCACTGATCCATTTTCACTGCAAAGCTCTTTCGTCCTTGTCATATTAGTAACCTTTCATTAAAATCCGACCTGTACTTGCCAAGTCATATACGTGCCAAGGATAATGATAGATTATCCATAAAATGTAATATCTCATTTTCTAAGTTTTTCTCGATTACAATACTTCATCTGCAGTAGTAGTGGCAAGTAAAAATTGGTCGATAATGAAAAGAACATGATCTTGATAATATTTGTTTTCCGATTGTAAATATGTCGTTTTATACTTATTAAATTTGAATGAAGGTCCTTCGTCTCAATTTTTCAAATAAAAGCGTGTTACACCATTTTAACCTCTTGCTGTTAGAATGTAACAAACTTCAGCGTACCTTATCTTTTGAACCTTGACCTTCGGATACTCCTTTTGAAGACGCTTTCTTTTCAATATGCTTATCTTTAGGTGTAGCTTCAACGGTTTGTTGCTCTCTAGCTAGCTTTAGGAAAACATCTTCTAGATGCCTACAACCATATGCTGACAGCAGTTGAGCTGGCGAATCTTCAGCTATAAGCTGCCCATCTCTCATGAAACCAATCTGAAATTAATTCATATTCTATTTCTTTTGTATCTAGATTTTGGCCAACATTCGATCAGTTTAGAACCTTTCACCTAGGTACGTGATCACAACAGTATCACCTTCGCTATATTGCTCATTAATTAACGTATTCCACTAGAAGATAACCAACTTAAAGCTGTGTTTCCACATCTGAAAACATATCCGAGATAAAATGATATACCGTAGCATCATCTACAGGGTGTTTTTTATATGAACCGACAAAAAAGTGTGGGTAATTGGGGAAGCTATTTGATGATTTTTGGAGGACACCGCAATGCTACAAGGGCTACGGTTTCCGAGATGACAAAGCCGGACTCTGTTGTCGAAGTCATTGTTTTCAAGACCTGCAATAAAAAAAACACGGGTAGCATTAGTTTGCCGCCGCTACATGCTAAATAAAAGCGATAAGAAGTTTCCATTGCAGACAGTTGTAAGTGTGATAAAAAAAATTACTTACCTTGTACAGGACTGTAGTGGAAGGCATGTTTATTATTCTGGCGAAGTACTTTCCACACTTTCCAAATTGAAATTCCCAGTAATGAAGCTACATTTCGGATGCTTTGAGTAGGATCTTCCTCGACAAGTGCTAAAATCCTCTCATCGATGTCAACATAGAGCCGTATTCATAAAACAAAGGATATCCTTGTACTTGCAAATTTTGAAGGAAATCCTCCAGATGGTATTTATACTAATTTGAAGTAAATGCTTTTGCTTTTTGAGTATAAGCATATCCTTCAAAGCAGTGACATAAGTAAAAGGATATTCATAATCTTCACCTTACTTGGCATAGGAAGCATATCCTTCAAAAAGTGTGGTCAGTAGCAGACTCAACTTCGTAACGAAAGGTGGTCAAAGGATGATGGCGGAAATTGTGGATGTTAAAACGTTTACCTTCAATTATATCTGTTCGACGAAGTAAATGTATTGCTTGCTTGCTTGCGGACAGATTTTTAATTGATTATGAGGAAACTCTAGGAGGAGCACTTTCATGTATTCATAAAATGAAGATATGTCTACGCTATCTCGGTGTCCCTGAATATCAACAAGGTATTGCTCAGGAACTTCGTGTTAGTCAAGCAACGGTATCTCGGACTGTGGATAGAGTTGTGAACAGCACAGTTGCACAGTCGAACGAATGGATCAAGTTTTCAACTACCAACCATGAACTGATGGAGGCCAAGCGGATATGGCAAAGCATGTATATACGTTATTTCCGACAGCAATTGGTGCAATTGATTGTACACATATAGGAATCCTGAAACCAAATCGCCATAGAGACGAGTATATATGAACCGAAAAGGGACACCAACTTTAAATGTGCGAGCCACTTGTGATGCCGGAGAGATGTTCACAAGTGTTGATGTCAGTTGGCCTGGATCAGTGCATTATTCTAGAACATGGAGAAATTCACAGATTAGATCACAACTAATAAATAAAGCAAATGTTGTGCTACTTGGCGATGACGGTTATGGCATTGAGCCATGCCTTATGACTCCCTTCAGAAATCCTACTCCAGGTGCAGAAATAAATTATCATAAGCTTTTAAAACAAGAAAGAGTTATAACTGAATGCTGTTTCGGCCAACTGAAACGCCGGATTCCTATCCTAAGTATGTTTGCCGCGTAAGTTGGAAAATGTGGCGAAAATAATTGTTGCTTGTATTGTACTCCATAATGATGCGAAGAGCTTTGGCGATCCTGAATTTGAGTTAGTTGAACAAGACCCAGATGAAGATGAAGGAAATCATGAGAATGACGAACTGCCTCTCCGCCACCTAGGTCAACAAATAAGAAGAAACTTGAGTATTATAATAAATAGTTTTACTGATTAAAATGTATTTATAAGTTATAATAAGGTTTATTTTCATGAACATCATAAGTTACAGGTGGCTTCTGACGCTGCATCATTTCTAATTTCGTTTTATACTACTCTTGTTGTAAAATACTTGTTTGGTACTGCTGTAATAGCACTAAATGTTGCGGTTCTTTTACAGTTAACCCTTTGGTTTCCTCAGTTTCGTATTTATCTGTTGCTAATTTTCTTTTTGGTGGCAATGTCTTCTGAATTGCTGGCGCTGTAATACTAACTGTTTGCTCACAGTGCTCGATATATAATCCACTTCCTTCTTCTTGAACACTACCAACCTGAATGGCACCTCTAATTTTCCGAATTGTAGTCACCTTCCATAGCTTTCAGCAACTTTCTTTTCCCAATCTAACAGTTGCTTTATTACCATTTTTTTAGATCTGTTTTTTTCTTCAATCTTGATTTCATGTTGTTGTTTTTTTTAATAAGCATTTATTATCTAATGGTTTACCGAATGTTGATTCGCATTTTTTCAACATCTTCTTCAAGGGATCGTCCTTTCTCATTTTTATTTTTGGAACTTGTGACTTTTGCAAAATAATGGGAGCAATGGCAATTCCATCTGCGATGAACTGCAGGTCATTGCCATTATTTTCTATAGTTTCCTCATCACTTGAGGATGACATGCTTATTAATTTGATAAAAAACTGTATCCAGTAAAAATACGGAACGGTGTGTGTAAGCTCTGGAGTACAACTGTCAGTGATGCTGCGTGAACGAACTCTCACGTCAACTACAAGCTGGAACAAGTCAGGACATGTCGCTCAAGATACAAATACCAGTCAACCTTTTAATTCTCCTTGGAGGATATCCTCGAGAGTATAAGGTGATCATTATGAATATGAAAACAAGGATATGCTTATACTTCTACCTTTTTCTCCGAAGCAAGACCTCATACTTTTACCTTATGCTTCCGAGGATATGCTTCTCTTTTATGAATTAATACGGCTCATTGTGTCGCACTACGGCACCTTTTGGTATATTATTGCTCACAGTACCGGTTTCTCGTAAGCGTCGATAAGTGTTTTGGAATGTGTGGCGAGTAGGTACATGACTGTTAAGGATAGTGCTCTTGGTAGATTCTTTGCGCTGCTCGTGCAACACATTTGGGTTGTCCGAACACCAACAACATGTCTGCATACTCTTCATTTGTAAATGCAGCCATCATCAAAACCGAACTCTACGAAAACTGACAAAACAACAACAGTCACAGGTCGCGACACTACGTAGAAGTGAAAAGCGTTAGGCAGACAGCAGGGACGAACCTCGATGGAAAAATACATGTAGACCCACGTCATCCCTGTCGGTTAGCCGCCGTGTACGAGGGAGACAAAAGTGTTTACCTGAGCTACGTTGTACACGTGTAAATTACACAACAGAAACAGAAATTCATTGTTATTGTCCGACCGAAAAAATTAGACCCTGTACACAAAATTTGCAAATTCAAGAATTTATTTCAACTTTTTTGTGACTTGTGGCATACCGTTGAAATCGAAATAAACTAGAGTATTTTTTAAAAGAATTCTAGGACGTGAACGATTTTAGTTTTTTTTTAAGAAATTCAAAATTGAGTTATACATAAAAAACTACATGCTGCTGGCAAGTAATGTTGATTTTGTAAGATTGGTATAATATCACCCATTAAGATAAATTAATCATTAGGTGGACATACTCTTTATTTTTTTTTATTTCACTTTGTGTATTACATTTTGGAGTTTTTACTAAAAAAAAACTAAAAAATCTACATAATTAATGCCGTTGAGCTAAAAACTATTTGAGGGACCTGGGGTGACAGAAAAAGACCTCCCCTGTCCGCCATTTCAATTTAGCAAACGTCAAAGTAGCAAATTTTTACTGCACGCCACTGGAGGCAATAACGTTCAATGAGTGCTTCTATTTTTTCTCGGCCGCAAGGAATTCTACTTTATACAACAGTATGAGAAGAAATATCCATTCTGAAGAGATACCCTAAAAAGGTCCCTTTTTAGGGATAAATGCAACACTTTTTTAAAATTCGACAATTTGAGTTATAGCCCACTTTGGAAAAATTGGAGAAATTACCATTTTTTGTGAGAGACCAAAGATCAAAAAGATGCATAGAAATATTTCCAAGATAAAAATTGAGAATTTGACATAGCCCCAAACTGCTAAAAGAAACTTGACTTCCTTTGCTCACCCTGTATAAATGGGAAAATAAAAGAACTATACCGATTGCACCCTGGTCAAGTTGGTCAAGAATCTCTCGAATACCGCAACTCGATATCTCTTTCCGTTCCGAAATTATCGAGATTTGAATTTGGGTAAAATTTTCCATGTTGCAAAGCAACTGTGTCCACGAGTTCATTTTCAAAAAGTATAAAGCATTTTCGTCCTTGTCATAATAGCTAGTAGTCTTGTATCATGATTTCGTCAAATTTCGACCGATGCTTTCCAAGTTATAGCGAGGTCAAGGATTAGCGGACAGACAGACAGACCGATGGAAATGGGTGACATGTTTTCTCGTGATGTACCTACATGTTATAATATAACATCAAAAAATATATCTCATTTTCGCGAATACAATACGTTCTCGCCAGTGGCGTAGAAAGTAAAAGCACAACTTAGATAACAATGAAGCTGTCCTGTCAGTGTCAAAAACGACTGTCATTCCGGCGGAGAAAGTCGAATGTAAATTCCCCCAGTACAACGATAAAAGGGGTTTTAGTACTCAGCAACAGCCGGTGTTGCCACGTACCCTGCCAGCGGCCGCAGATATTGTAAAAAAAATACTATTCCGATATAATCTAGTGTAGTTTGTGTGAACCAATAATAAAAAGGGCAACGTTTGTCCAAAAAGAAGCGACGAAGTATTGATGACTATTTATTTATGGAAAAGTTTTAAAATGATCAGTATTGGTGGAAGTATATACAATAAACAGAAAAATATTGACTTTTGTAATGCATTCTTTGCTGCTGCGATATTCACAATCCATTTCATTTTCAATGTAAATACTCCTAAAGCATCACAATCAAACCCGTCACTTCTGGCAACTCCTCAGCTAGGATGCTTCTACGAGTTCTTCATGTGTAAGTGGTCGGTAGTTCCGATATTTTAAATACATAGAAAATATAAAAATTGTAGGCCAGTATACGCTCCATACTTGGAAAATATGCCGCTCTCCACAAGATGATTAGTAATTACATGACAACCGATACACTTTTTGAATGGATTTGTTTAGAATGAGCGAAGAATAAAAAGATATTCATGCAAAATGATTTGGTTTTACTGATGAACAATGTTTCTCAAACACCAAAACCTCTTTCATCCCTGTCCTAGCGGAATTTACATGCTATTTTCTCCACCGAAATGACAGCCGTTTTTGACTCTGACAGGGGAGTTTCATATCTGATTGTTATCTAAGCTGTGGTGACAGTTTCATACCCTGTGGGCTTGTGTGGCCTCTTCAATATAGTGAGTAGTAATGATGATACTTGTGTTTCTTTTTTTTACATCTTGCACCATATAGCTCCAAATATTGGCTCTCAGGATTGGATCTACTCCAACAGTCGGCTCATCCAGAATCAAAAGGTCTGGGGCATGCATTACTGCAACTGCTAGAGACACTCTCCTTTGTTGACCTCCGCTAAAAAGCATGTTGAAATATTTACAAGTTGGTACAAACCCAGGTACAAAAATACTTTGTTGCCATAATATGGGATATTTAAACACTTGTCTGTTTTTACTAATTCACTTTGCATTTTTCGAAAACATATTAGAATATGGAGATGAATTTTGATACGTGCAAATGCCAGCAAGTCTCTACGTTTAGCGAGAAAAAAGGAGGCTACTGGTTTATACAAAAAGTCAGTATCAGTAAAGTCAGACTGGTTCTAAATGAAAACTGCATCTTGAAAATCTTCACTCAAACGCACCGTACATAAAATAAGGATTATTAATATAACCAGATCAGCAATGTGTTTATCGTTATTATTAAAAAAATAGCGTCAAGTAGGTTGAGTCCGCGCTTCTTACACACCGCTGCCAAAATAAAGGATTATATTCGGCCCAAGTTAGTCCCTCAATGGAAAATGTTGGCTACGAATATGTATAACAAAGTAATTAAATGTATCATGTCAGTCAAATAAGCTCATACAATTAGTCCATAGTCCCACAGATTCGATAGCATTACGATCTATACACTATTCGTGGTCCATTTACGCCCCGGCACAACAAAGATGCAGCGCGGCAAAGCGGCAGTCGCATAAGCGTTGCAATAGCTATTGGTCATTCGGCCATAAAAACTAGGAACAAGTGCAGGATTCGACAGGATAGAGCTCACGTTCGGGTTATCACCGGCAGTTCGGTGCATACATAGCGTTTGTTTATACGTTACGGATACAGCAGATGAAACTGAGAATATTTCTCAAAATGCTACCTCTAGCCATGCTTCTTCTTCAGTGATGTCTCATCCCTGAAAACGTGACATGACGGGACATTTGAATATTCAGGCAAAAGAAATTGATCTTAACGTTTATAAGAGCGAAATTTTAGAGCATCCTGAAATAAAAATTCATGATATTGAACGACGTGTGGCGAACAGAACAGGCTTATGCCCTAAGGTAATTTCAACATTGTTGAAGGATATAAAAAAAAAACAAAAAAATTGTCTCCACTACACAAGAGGCTGCATTACAGGAATAACAGTTGACAACTTTGATCGGAATACCATCAGACGCAAAGTCCATCAATTTTTTGAAAGGGAGGAACTGCTCACCATAGACAAAGTATTACAGGATGTTAATAGTGATGAAGACTTATCCACTCTCAAAAGGACCACATTCTATAGTTTACTCAAAGAACTTAATTTAGAGTATAGAAGACGAGACAGAAATAGTATTTTGATGGACAGCAATGAGATTATTTTAAGAAATTATTTAATATCAATAAGGAAATACCGTGACCAGAGTAGGTAGATTTATTACTTGCATGAATCCTGGATAAATGCAGAACATACAAAACCTAAAAAGTGTGGGCTGACTCTACAATTAAATCAGCAAGACAAGCCTTCTTAGATGGACTAAAAATGCTGTCAAGTAGACTGAATCTATGAGCCCACGCTGAAAACTTAGCTACACTAAACTTAGCTATGTCTGGTAGATTTGGAACCAACACCTGTTAGATACCCTGCTTGTATTATTATTGGTTTTTTTGAATACTATATGAAATAATTATTTCCAGGAAAAGGAAAGTAATTATCTGTCACATTGGGTTTGTTCCTACTGCCCTATGGGTATTTGAGTCAAAGAAAACGATGAACTACCATGAAGGGAGCTCATTTGAACGATGGTTTGAAGAAACGCTCCCAAAGCTTGATGACAATGCCGTGATTGTTCTTGTTAATGCTGCATACCACACTAGAAAACTAGAAAAAATTCAGATAATGTCGACAAGAAAGCCAGAAATTCAACAATGGCTCCTATTAAAAGAGATTAGATTCAATGAAAATATGGTCAAAGCAGAACTCATCCATGTAGTCAGGCAGCACAAATATAAATATAATCTTAATGTTATTGACGAAATGGCTAAAAACCAAAATAAGACCGTTTCAAGGCTACCCCCTTATCACTGTGAATCAAAATCCCATTGGAATTATTTAGGCAGATATAAGAAAACTAGGTGGCTTCAAACAGTAGAACATTCAAATTTTCTGACGTGAAAAATTTGTTTTATGAACCTGTCAACAGAGTGACGGCCAACCATTGGGAATATTGCAGCCGTCAAGGCAATCGAAACAAAGATGTGGCATCTGGACAATATGATCGATATTCAAATTGAACCTGTAATAATTACTATAAACCATTCGGACGATGATTTAAGTACTTCGAGTGAATAAAGAATTGTGAAAAGTATGTGCACTTCTATCTATAAAAATCATCATTTATTTTGCTAGATTATTCCAAGACCATCGAGGAAAATACGGACCTGTTCAATATCGCTGTTGTGTTTTGTCTGGACGTAAAGGAACTAAAAATGGGGTATAGCCTGCTGCCCTGCCGTCAGTAATCGTGGAAGGTATGCCTGTCGCGGAACTCAAAAACCTAACATGGCAGCGTTGCATACAAATATTTATATGCATCATCGCTCAGCAGTGTTGCCGAGTCTACCGATTTTTCGGTATTTCTACCGAAATGAGACCTTAACTACCGAAATACAGAAAACGTACTTTTTTTCAAATATTTGTTTAAAATAATCCAGACGTTTCCCTATTTTTTACCGAAAATGAACTGGAACCAAAAATAAAGCAAAAAAATGAATTATATGTAGTCTATATAGTTTTATGCACAATACCAGTCATACATATTACATAAGCGTACACTTGGGCAGTCGGTCATACGAGGGACGTAGATTTGGATTGCCTGCAATTATGTAAACACATCCTTTGCTCGGCTTTCTCTATACTGGTTTTTGTAAACAGAAAAATATTCAGAATCTTATAAACAAGAATGACAAAAGGAGTATCAATGGTGGTTGCAAAGGTGTTTGAAGAGCGACCAGTATGTTCATTGTACCAGTTGTAATGAATAACTTTTCAGTCAAATCTGTTGTGTATGTGCGCGCAAAACAGACATACTTTTTCCATAGAGGGCGCAGCTGATCTTGTAACGCGCCTGATTTTTTCTACCTACCGTATTTGTTCTTGAATCTTAACGACACTATCTACCAATTTCGTCTTTTTTTAGTTGGGTAACATTGCCGCTCAGTTATCCCTCAGCATTTGAAGCAGGCAGACAAAAGCTATTGAGTTGTCCGACATGGGTATATATAAAATATACCTCTATGATGCCAGGACACCGCGTCTGCAACGAGAATCTCAAAGAAATTTTGTTTAAACTGCCTAGAACTAGGAAAAGCGCCCTCTTGTAGATTGTTCCACAATCTCGACACCCTCGGGCCAAAGGAGCGGTCGTAGCGGCCAGTTCTGGGTGTACGAAGTGCGAAAACGTTAGTACGGGAGGACGAACGCATGCGGATCTATCTGGCAGGCACATCCCGCAACGAAATCATGGAGACGAGCTCTGAGGAGCAGAGCTTGTTGGTGTAGCGGTAGAAGAGCTAGATCGCCGACGGCCCGCTGGTGCAAAAGGGTAAAGAGACTGCACCCCAAGCATGTGAACAATACTCGAGACTAGGTCTTATCTGGGCCCTGTATAGAGTGCGGAAAAAAGTGCTTCTTAGCCCGAAAGAAATAACCTAGCTTTTTGAAATGAACGGCTATTTGGGAGAACTCGGACATCCATCGAAACCGGATAACCCCTAGGATGCTTTTTGTTTGTCAAGGTACATTACTGTGTGTGTTTTGAAAGCATTAAAGAAAGGAAGTCGCCACTAATCTTTTTTTTACAGTTCACCAGCAGACATCGGCTTGTTCCTCTGAATTCCTGCATGTAGAGTGCTGTCATCAGCAAAGCTGTGAGTTGGGTTGATCGTACCGGGAAGGAGGTATTGGACATGTAAGAGGAACAGTGTCGAAGTCAAGACCGATGCCCGACCAGCGTTATCGTAGTGAGATGAAGAGGAGAACTCGTCAATTAGAAGGAAATCTCGCGGTCAGAAAGAAAGTCAGCCACCCATCTGCAAAGTTCCTCTGGGAGGCAATAGGATGGAAGTCAGCATATGAGAGCGTTTTTTTTTATATCGAAACAGCCGCGCAGGCAGAAGCCTAAATGCCGGAACACCGCGGCTGCTATGATGATCCCAAAGAAATTTTGTTAATACGATTTTTGAACTGCCTAAGGTCAGTAGAATTGGGAAAAGCTTCCTCCCGTAGATTGTTCCACAATCTAGACACCCTCGGGACAAAGGAGCGGTCGTATCGGCCAGTTCTGGATGTACGAAGTTTGACACGGTTAGGATGGGACGCCGAAGTCAGGCGAGTCTGTCTGGCAGGCACATCGCGCGGCAGCATCATGGAAGACAGCTCTGAGGAGCAAAGCCCGTTGGTGTAGCGATAGAAAAGAGCTAGATCGCCGACGGCCCGCCGTTGCGAAAGAGTCCCAAGACTGTCTGTTAGGGAAGAGTCATCGATCAGTCGGACCGCCCTCTTCTCGAGCATGGACAATGTAGTCGGGGCGGCAGCACCCCAAATGTGTGAGCAATACTCGAGGCTAGGCCTTATCTGGGCCTTGTATAGAGTGAGAAGGTCATGCGGAGAAAAGTACTTCTTAGCCCTAAACAAATAGCCTAGCTTTTTCCCAGCAGCTGCAGCTATTGAAGAGATGTGTTCGTGCCAGATCAGGTCCTCGGTGATCTGGACTCCGACCAGCCGAAATGAATGGCTCTTTGGTAGAACTCGACCGTCCATCGAAACTGTATGAGCGCTAGGACGCTTTTTGTTCGTCAAAGTACAGTACTGTGTTTTGGAAGCATTGAACTGTACAAGATTGTTGCGTCCCCAAGCAGTGATAGCCTCCAGATCTCTTGTCAGAGAAGAAGTCGTCGCTAGTCTTCTTTTTTCCAGCTCAGCGGCAGAGATCGGCTTGTCACTCTGAATTCCTGCATGTAGAGTGCTGTCATCAGCGAAGCTGTGGATTGGGTTGATCGTGCAGGAAAGGAGGTCGTTGATATGTAAGAGAAACAGTGTTGGAGCCAAGACCGATCCCTGGGGAACACCCGCGTTGACGTTGTGGGATGAAGAGGAGAATCCGTCAATTACGACGGATATCTTGCGGCCAGAGATAAAGTCAGCCACCCATCTGCAAAGCTTTTCTGGGAGGCCGTAGGATGGAAGTTTGCTTAAGAGGGCAGCGTGCCACAGCTGATCGAACGCTTTCGTGATGTCAAGAGCAACGACATGAGCCTCACCATGAGACTGGATGAGTTTACTCCACAGTTGCGTGACGTAAGCTAGGAGGTCCCCTGTGGATCGTTGGTGCCGGAAACCGTACTGCCTGTCGCTAATCAAGCTGTGACGTTCGAGGTAGTCCAGAAGCTCGCGATTTATGCACCTCTCCATCACTTTACTTATAACAGAAAGCAGAGCTATAGGCCTGTAGTTGTAAGGGTCGGTTTTAGATCCTTTTTTTGGGATGGGCTGTACATGAGCAAATTTCCAGTTTTCTGGGAAGGTGCCGGATTCATAAGATATCTGGAAGAGACACGAAAGAACTGGAGCAAGCTCCGCTGCACATCTCTTCAGTACAATGGCAGGAATCAAGTCCCGACCAGAAGCTTTGTTGATGTCGAGCGACAAGAGCACTCGTCTTACGGTCTTATGCCTGAATGTTACCTCCCGCATAGTGTGGGGAACGCTTTGAATTGACGGCACTTGGGCGTTGGTGGGGACGTCCATGGTGGAGTTGGCAGCAAAGATCTTGGCTAGCACTTCCGCCTTGGCCTTTGAGTCGAATACAATAGTTCCATCCTGACACGTAAGTGGTGGAAGGCTACTGTGTGAGAAGTTCTTTTCAATCTGCTTGGCCAGCGTCCAGAAAGACCGACTGCCATTGCGCTGCGACATTACCCTGTGCCTAACTTTTATATCATGCTGGTTTTTGGCATTGCGAACCGCTTCGTTATATTTGTTTCTGGACTCGACGTCGGATTGTCTGTTCTCTACAGTGGGGTTTTGTAAGTAGGTTCTATGGGCCTTGATCTTCTGCTGGCGAGTGGTGTCACACGATTTGTTGAACCAGCCGTTGGACCCTGGTTTAGGAACTTTCACTGTGTGAGGGATGTATTCCTCCATTCCGACGTGGATAATTTCGGTTATTGAAGAACAGACAGACGACGCATCCGCGTCAGTGAAACAGACATCTCTCCAAGGAAAGCTAGAGAAGAAGTCTCTGAGCCCTTCCCAGTCGGCATGTCCGTAATGCCAAGTTTTGCGGCCTGTACGAATTTCTGCTGCCACAGCGGCTTCTGACCGAAACCTAATCTCCACAACACCGTGATCTGAGTTACCCAGGGGGGACAGGACAGCAGTGCTGTAAGGGGCAGGATGCGTGGTCGGAAAGAGATCCGACAGGCTACTGGCGTGTGACGAGACGCGGGGGAAAAAAGTAGGGCTCGTCACCAGCTGGGTCAGCCCTTGAGTAAAAGCGAACGCTTCGACTGCACGACCTGCTGCATCGGTCTTATTTGAGCCCAACCAAAGCTCATAATGGGCATTGAAATCACCGAGAAGAACTACGTCTGAAGCGGGGTGATTGATGTTCAGGAAGTCGATCTGGACGGCGAGGTATTCGAGTAGGTCATCCCAGTTATGGTTCGATGGAGAGCGATAAAGGCAGCAATTAAATTTGGGTGATGTTTTGGAGTTGAGGCGAAGCCACAGGATGTCCTTCCGGTCTGATTCCAAAGAAAGATCCCTGGAGCAGGAAAGACTGCTGCGGACAAAAGCCACAACTCCCCCGTTCTTTTTCAGATTGGAGTGCACCTCGTAGTTTGGGAAGTTGAGATGGTTAATCGGTGCAGTCTCTGAGATTTTTGCCTCCGCCAAGAAAAGCACGGCGGACGATTGGATTGCAGGTAGTGATGAACAGCATCAATGTTGCTGTTGATCCCGCAGATGTTCGAAAAACAAATTTTATCTTCGATGTTGTTCCATCGAGCCCACCCTCCACCCGGACATTCCGAGAGTGGAGTGAGTTTACGTCCGGAATTTTTAGTGCTCGAGGGGTCCATCATCATTAATATCTTTGTTTTGGTAGATAACCGACTGCATAGCTTAGGTGTGGAAACATGCGTGCCGCAGCTAATCGAACGATTTTTTGATATCAAGAGTAACGACCATAAGACTGGATGAGTTTACTCCACAATTGCGTGACGGAAGCTAGGAGATACGGTGTGGATCGCTGGTTCCGGAAATCATACTGCATGTCGCTAATCAAGCCGTGACGTTAGAGGTAGTCCAAAAGCTCGCGATTTATGCACCTCTCCATCACCTTACTAATAACAGAAAGCAGAGCTGTAAGCCTATAGTTGTAAGAGTCGGTCTTAGATCTTTTTCTGGGATGGATTGGACATGATCTAATTTCCAGTTTGCTGGGAAGGTGCCGGATTCGTACGATATCTGGAAGAGACGCGAAAGAACTGGAGCAAGCTCCGCTGCACATCTCTTCAATGCGATGGCAGAAATCAAGTCCGGACCAGAAGCACTTGCGCCTTAGCCCTAGAGTTGGTTACAATCAACTGATACGTAAGTGGTGGAAGACTAGACGTTTCTTCCAATCTGCTTGGCCAGCGTCCACAAAGACAGACTTCCCATTGCGCTTGCGACATTACCCTGTGCCTAACATTTATATCGTGATGGTCTTTGGCATCTTCGTTATATTTGTTTATGAACTAATCTGCTTGTTTGTTCTCTACAGTGGGGTTTTGTAAGAAGGTTCTGTGTGCCTTGATATTCTGCTGGTGAGCAGTGTCGCACGATTTGTTGAACCAGCCATTGGACTCTGGTTTTTTATGCACTTTCACTCTATGAGGGACGTATTCCTCCATCCCAACGTGGATAATTTCGGTTATCGATGAACAGCTGATGCGCCCGCGTCAGCGAAACAAATATCTCTGCAAGGAAAGGTGGAGGAGAAGTCTCTGAACCCCTCCGAGTCGGCATGTTCGAAACCTAACCTCCAGAACAGCGTGATATGAGTTACCCAAGGGAGACATGACAGCAGTGCTGTAATGGACAAAATGCGTGTTCAGAAAGTAGTCCAGCAGGGTACTGGCATGTGATGAAACGCGAGAGAAAAAGGTAGGGTTTGTCACCGGCTGGGTCAGCATTTGGGTAATAGCGAACGCTTCAGCTGCACCACCTGCTGCATCAGTCTTATTCGAGCCCAATCAAAGCTCATTATGGTCATTGGAATCACCGAGAATAAATACCTCTAAAGCGGGGCGATGGTTGTACAGGAAGTCGATCTTAACATCGAGATATTCAAGAAGGTCAACCCAATGGAGCAGGAAAGACTGCTGCGGACAAAAGCCACAACTCTCCCGATCTTTCTTCAAGATGATTAATCAGTACATACTCTGAGATTTTTGTCTCCGGCAAAAAAAGCATGAGTGGACGATTGGATTGCAGATGGTGATGAGCAACATCGTTGTCGCATTTACTTTCGCGGATGTTCGTGAAACAAATTTTATCATCGATGTTGAGGAGATTGCAGTGAGTTTACGTCCGAAATTCTTAATACTTAATACATCATCATTAATTTCTGTGTTGGGGAAAATAATCGACTGCGTAGCTTAGGTACGGAAACATGCGGACATTTATAAAATACCCTGGAAAACGCTAGCGGGTGGTACCGCCTCTGTCGACTAGTCCTTGTCTACCGGCTTTTTTTGCGTGTTAATGATGTTAGATAGACCTAAAGTGGCCCGTCGGCGGACTTGAACGGGAAGAAGTTGTATACTGAATACAACAACTTCCGGAACAAGCATTTGCTACGGTCCCGCTCAGTAGAGGTTAAATATGTCTAATACTTGCAAAATCTCTCCTAAAAATATTCAGGGTCCTCTGAAGCATCAAAAAACGAAGATTGAGCTATTTTTATCATTTTGTTTTTGGCCTTTTTCACTACCATCACTAGACCGGTTTTCAAAAACGGCTTCGGCCTTGGCATATTAGTAACCTTGTATGAATATTCCATCGAAATCCGAAGGTTACTTTTTAAGTTATAGACGGGACAAGGTTCGGAAGACAGATAGATCGACAGAGACCAACAGACAGATCGACGGAAATGAGTGACATGTTTTTTCGTGATGCACATGTATATAACCTACAAAAAAACGTAACATCTTACACCTACTTTTCGAGAAATTTTAGAAATTGTGATGTAGCATGGTTTTAAATACCTCAGATTTCTCACGAGTCTTTTGGCAGTAGGTAAATCTAGTAACTGCACTAAAAAATCTGTTGTTTCTTTGATCTCCTTCGTCTTCAGGCCAAAAATCCAGCCAAAATACAACATGGTTTCCTTTATAGAGAAGTCGTCATACAGAGCTAGCTCTTGAGGCATATACCTAAACCAATATAAAATACGAGTCTTAGGGCTGATTCTACTATCGACCCACGGGCATCAAAATTTGCGTCCAGTGCGAAAATTCTAGCGGTTCAAGGCGCTTTTGTAGTAATGGAATTAATGATATCAACAATTCTCCATCTTCCTTTACTAAAAACATATGTCTATAGTAATAGATCGCTGATCACATTATTATTCGTTTTTGAGCCGTTTAAAGACCTTAATTTCACATTAACTAAGTATTAGGATGTATGGCTGAGTTAAAAAATACCATCATATTATTATTATTATTTTGCGACCTACACTCCATTAGCATAGTGGATGTTCGTCGAATGCCTGGAGGAATTATGCTATCCTCCGAGGTCTTGCCTAGACCTTGAGGAAGAATGCGTTGTGGTATATTTATGATAGACGTCTAATTATGTGGGCCGTTCCCATTATCGCTACTTTTTGTAGAATGTTTATGGTATGTTGTTTTTCGTTGCCGGGAATCTTGATGACCTGGTGCTGGAAATTCTTTTGCAGGGTTCCAGTAGCGCCTATAATGATCATATCATTTGTGCTTTCAAACCCCACATTCTTTGTATTTCGATTTTCAGCTCCTGGTATTTTAACATCTTTTATTATTATTATTATTATTATTATTATTATTATTATTATTATTATTATTATTATTATTAAAGGAAAAGAAAAGTAAAACAGACAACCTGGGCTCCGACACACCAAGCTGCTGTACCATTAACAACTAGGACACACACTAGTGTGACAAGTAGACGGAGGGAACCGAGGATGACCGCTTTCTGAATTCTCCTGGCTAAGATGCTTGTCGATGCTTGGCATTTCGGTAGACAAGGACTATGTCAGGCTTATTCGCCTGCACCAGCTCGACCGTGGGGAACGAGTTATTCCAGTAAATCCGGCATTTCTCGTTCTCCACAACGGACTCAATATCCCCTGGTCCATAGGGCAGCACGGGTGTTCCATCTGTATCGTAGGAGTGCCTCAAATTGTAGTATAACACTCGCAAAGCTGCGTTGTGACGATTGACGTAAGCAATGCCAGCGTACACGCTGACAAGAGATGCATAAGCGTCTCTGGCGTCTGACGACATGCCCTGCAGTTGGCATCGGGTACATCCGCACTCATAACCCTCCCTCGGTATACCAAGGTATTAAATACACCAAATTGGCAAGTCATAATTAGTCTCAGACTTTAACCCAATAGACCTTAGAACTGCTTAGAAAAGATATGCTCCTCTATGTGTATGTAGAAGATTCCAAGCATAGACTTGTTTCTATAAAGCCTTAATAAGTAATTTGCTTCAGAAGTCTTTATGTTGCTCTCCAGTTAAGCAGAAGCCAGCTCTGTGATGGACTGCTTGTCAGCTGCTCCTTTCGCTGCTCTAAAAAGAAAAGTTCCTTTACTCACATTCTCGTGCTCATGCACAAAGCAACATCACCGGCAGTGCTCAGTACCCTGCTAACTACTAAACGACTATACCCCTGCATTACCCAGAGCGACTGCTGCAAGTCGTGCTGTCCAGGGGCGTAAAGCTTGAGGTCATTTATATAAAAGAGGTGGGTGTCTCCGGCTGCTGGGCGTGCCGCAGCTGTATCATCTCACATTGCTCAGCACAACAGATAACTGGAGCAGTAAGATGCAGAAGAGCAGGGGACTTGAAGACTCCTCTTGGAAACCCCTCTTCTGAAGTATACCAACACTGCTCGAACTTTGGTTTGACCAGGCGTGATTGTGAACCTAGTCCTTCAGCGGCATCAGTTGTTTAATGCATCTCACTATTTGATTATCTACCACAAGGTGTCCCAACAGACGCACAATGAGTTCATGAGTCGTTGCGTCAATGACTTACGATAGTTAATCAATGCCATCGAAACGTTTCGCTTGTACTGCACGGAGTCCTCTGTGACACAGCGGTCAATCAACAGGTTCTTCTTTAAGCCATCTACTTTGATCCCCGCTGCTCATATACATTGAGAAATATCGTGTTTACAGCTTTGAGCATACGGATGTACAAAATTTTAGTGAAAAGCTTGTACAATCCGTTAAGATATGTTATTATTATATGTTAGTTCATTGTATCCGACAAATCTTTGGTCTTTGGGAGTAGCATGGTTCGGACCTCGACAAACCAAGGCGGAACTGGCTGCTCCTGATTTAGGAAATACCGGTGGTACCTGGGAAATTCCTTCCACCAGTAGGTGTTTAAGCTATATTGCCAGCAGCTGCGAAATTCTTAGCACCTATAAAGGCACTACGAATTTATTCCGTAGTTATTGGTTGACGCACTATATCAGCACGGGGAGTCCTTTGTCAAGAGGACTCAAACTGCGGAGTGGCTGCCCGGGAGAGACTCTCACCCTCCCCTGTCCAGATAACCTCAGAGCCTCAGCATATCTTCGCAATTGATTCGTCAAACATCAGAGTCCTCCGAGAGATGCTCATGAAGAAGCTCACCCTCTCGCTTTAGCTGGTAGACAGCTTTAGGGCCCCCTAATGTTATGTAAGGTCTTTCGGTCATTAGAATCTCTAAGTGGAACTACGTTGTCGCTTTCTCTCTCAGTGAGCCTTGATGGTGACCTTTCAGCCTGTGTGATAGGCCTTCCAGCCCCCGGAGAAGCAGTCTGAGCTGGAGCACGAACATATCCCTGAATCCAAAGGTACGCTGCATAATTCCGCAAGTTCGTAGAGGTAAGCGCGCTATGCTTAGGATGCATTTCGCACCACCTATCCTACAAGCGAGACATGTAGTCCCTACGATGCGGACCACTGCCCTCATAGCAACACAGCAGGTCATCCTTGCCGTAGGTCCCCTTCTGAATGGGGACGGGTGTAGAGGTTTCTCCTCATTGTATTCGGAACAATGGAGTGAAGGTCCATGGTGGCAGTCGGCCATCCAAGATCCCGACCGACAGTCAGATGGGAAGCAGTGAAATTCCTCCCGGGGTACACCTATGTAGGCTGCCGGCCGTTAGTACCCCCTGTCATCGGCCTCTACTGGGCGGTGCCACAACTACGAAGTCCAGGCGAACACGAACCCTACCTTGACGGATGGGAGACGAGGCTGCGCATGCGCAGGGGGCACCCAAAGTTTATATGGTTGTAATGTATATGTTTTATTGCATCAGCATTGCATTTAGAAATCAACCCTTAAAACGAAGCACGAAAAGTTGTTTTCTCCGTAGACTCTGTATGAGTGCTTTACAATGTATACTAAGTGACATAAAATGCAACACCCAGAATTATTTATTGAATTTTGATAAAAACTTGTAAACATATTTTACTACCATGGAAGTATACGCTGATAAAATGTTGAAGCGATTCCGAGCCGTACTTTTTTTGTAAAGGTTTTTTTTTGTCATATCAGGATCCGAACAATATGAATAAGTTTACTTAATATTTAGTGATTTTTCTGAATTGGTTCCTTTTGTTTCATTGCATTATCATGCCTAGAATTCGCAGACGCGCTAATTCCACTCAACCTTCGGATAATTGGGATACGTGAAGCCAGATTTTATTTTAGAGAAATCTCTAGTCGAGTGAATCGAATGAGATGTTGTCGAGCGTGGTTTCAAGAAGGCCGAAATCGACGAGTCAGAGGTACTGGACATCAAAGACAGACTACAGAGCGACATGATCGTTGATTTAAGCCAACTAGCACTTGCAGATGCGCTAATTTCGCTCAACTTTCCTTGTTTGAGAGGGGTCGAATAATCGGGTTACGTGAAGCCGGATTTTCTTTTAGAGAAATCGCTAGAAGGCCGAAATCGACAAGTTATAGGTACTGGACGTCAAAGTTATTTGGGGCAACTAGCACTTAGAGATTGCAGTTGCGAACCAGTGGTTTGATGCTTTCGGAAGGGCAATGACAATGAGGGCAGTTTATCGCCGAATAAGGTCTTGTGTACTGTATTCCTACCGTCCCCATCTTGTGCTACCTCTGACCCCACAGCATCATCGGCAATGATTGGTATGGAGTAGGAAGAGACTTGAATGGAATATGGAATAGAACTCAGTCGCGTTCAGCGATGAGTCCAGATTCTGTTGGGCACACATGTTTACCGTGCAAGAGTGAGGAGACGCGGTGAAAGACAACGTCCAATATTCCATCAAACGGCATATTCATTTCACTATGGGTGTTATGTTATGCCACTGCTAACGGCAGCAGGTCACGATTCGTGGTAGCAAGACTGTCGAGCGCTACAACCATGAAGTTTTCAACCACATCTGCTTCCTTTTTTGAAAACATTGCAAGATCCACTTTTTCAGCAGAACAATGCACGACCTCATGTCGCACTTGTTAGCTTAGACTTTTTAGAGGCGTCCGGAATAAATCTGACTCAGTGGCCTCCTCGATCTCCAGACCTTTCCCTCACCGAACATGTATGGGACATGATGGGAAGAAGGTTGCAAAATTCACCGTACTCTCCACAAACATCGGAGGCTCTACGGAACCAAATTCAAATGGCCTGGTATACAATCCACCAAGAAGACATCAATCACCTATTCCAATCAATGCCGTGACGACTTAACGACTGTGTAGCCAACAGAGGAGCTTCAACACATTATCATCATTAAGATATCTCAACTATTTTGTGAAATTCAAATTTAAAATTTTGATCATTTTCTATTTATCAGTAGACCTAAAAGCTTGTAAAAGTATGCTCAAAATTACATCACTCCTAGTCGGTGTTGCATTTTCTATGTCATTTAGTATATTAACAAAAAACATACATACATTACATGCATCGATACCTTTATCATAAATCAGATAAATGCAAATATGTATCTTATAAATAAATCGCCCAGACACACAGAGTGTGCAAACAACAGTGGTTTGTAATGGGTGATTTTTTTTGCTAGTATCTTTTTGGCAACACTGTTTTTGACAGATGACGCGTGAATCGTGTCTTGTGTCAATGTCAAACTTATTCAGTTTGGTCTATAATTTAACCATGAATAGACTTACGAACGAACAACGCTTGCAAATTATTGAATTTTACTATCAAAATTCATGCTCGGTTAAGAGAGTGCATCGAGCACTGGCTTCCAAATTATTGGCAATTTGGTCGGCCTACTGAGGGAGCTATTCGGAAGCTTGTGACTAAATTTCGAACCCAGTTTACATTATTGGACATAAAACCACCAACACGCAGACGTAGAGTGAGGACTGAAGAAAATATTGCGGCTGTATCCGCCAGTGTTAGTGATGACCGTGAAATGTCGATTCGCCGCTGTTCGCAGCAATTGCGCCTCTGTTACTCCACCACGTGGAAAATTTTGCGACAGGATTTGGGTGTAAAACCTTATAAGATACAGCTGGTGCAAGAATTGAAGCCACACGACCTCCCACAACGTTTCCAATTTGGTGAATGGGCGCTGCAAAGGTTGGAGGAAGATCCACATTTTTATCGAAAAATTGTGTTCAGCGACGAAGCTCATTTCTGGTTGAATGGGTACGTTAACAAGCAAAATTGCCGCATCTGGAGTGAAGACCAGCCAAAAGCATTGCAAGGGCTACCAATGCATCCCGAAAAAATCACTGTTTGGTGTGGATTATGGGCCGGTGGCATCATCGGGCCGTACTTCTTCAAAGACGACAATGCCCGGAACGTAACTGTGAATGGTGCGATGATAAACTTTTTTTTGGCCAAAATGGAAGAGCTGGACTTGGATGACATGTGGTTTCAACAAGACGGTGCCTCGTGCCACATCGCACACGAAACAATGGCTGAATTAGCTGACAATTTTACATAAATCGTATGTTTTTTCTCTAGTTACTCCAAAAACTCCTTTAAATTAATTGATGAAACCACAAGCCCAAGCACACAGCCATCTCCATACCGCTTGGAGTTGCCCACTAGTTAATGATACCTGTGGATGTACTTGTGATACTTCAGCCTCAGCTCAGATAACAATTATCTATGAAACTCTCCTATCACTATCAAAGAACGGCTGTCATTTCATTTCAGGAAACAGTCGAACGTAAATTTCCCCAGTACAACGATGAAAGAGGTTTTAGTGCTCAGCAGCAGCCGGTGTTGCCACGTACCTTGCCAGCGGTTGCCGATACTATTTGCAATCGTAAAATGATAATATTTTGATATGATCTAGTGTAGTTTGTGTGACCCAGTAATGAAAAGGACTATGTTTGTCCAAGAAGAAGAGACTAAGTATTGATGTCTATTTATTTATGAAAAAGTTTTAAAATAAATTCGTATTGGTGGAAGCCTTTACAACAGAAAGAAACATATTTACTTTTGCCATGCATTCTTTGCTGCGATATTCTCAAACCATTCCATTTTCAATGTAAACACTGTTAAAACACCGCGATCAAACCTGACACTTCTGACGACTCATCAGCTATAATGCCTCTACATACACGGCGAGTTTTTAATGTGTAAGCGGTTGTAGGCAACTACACACTCCTTACTTGGGAAAGTATGCCGCTCGCCACAAGGTGATTCATAATTACATGACAACGCACACATTTTATAAATGGTTTTGTTTAGAATGAGCGAAGAATAAAATACTGATTAATAATGTATCTTAAATCTCTCACTTAAATGTTCGATATGCTCTCGTTTTTTCCACAACAAGACACCAAAATTCTTCCGATTCAGTGAAAGTTGTATTTGTCTGGTGCTTTTAGCATTGCTTACATTGAAAATGCAAAGGATTAATGATATAGCAGCGGCGTAGAATACATAGCAAAAGTAAATATTTTTCCAGTTATTGTAAATAATGTACTTCCACTATTACAAATTTATTTTGAAGCTTTTTCATAAATAAATAGCCATCCGTCGCTTCTTTTTGGAGAAACATACACCTTTTGATTGTTGATTCATACAAATTATACAGGGTGTTGGGGAAATAAGATTCGTAACTTTAAGAGGTGATTTCTTGCATTATTCTAAGCAAAAAAGTTCATTATAACTTATGTCCGGAAATCAATCGTTTTCGAGGAAATTGAGTCGTAAATAATTAAATTTTCTCAAATATTTGGCAACGCTGTAACGCAACCGCGATACGAGTGCATGACTACCGCAACTGGTTCATCGAACTGTTTATGTTTGTATGATATTTTTGTCGAAAATATGCTTTGAATTATTGAATACTTTTACGAATTTTTTTGTGGCTAATATTTTATATTTAATAACGCCTTCAGTACAGTACATTTACTTAAAAAAAATGACAGAACTTAACCGGTACGTGGCGATACACACCACCAATTCCCAAGACTATCAATCACTTATTTGAAACGATGCGATGCACGAAAAAAGAAAAAAAAAACAACATCCGTAAATCAGATAACGTTACAGTTAAATGTATTAGTAATCACAACAACACTTCGGAAAATTGTATTATGAAGGAAGAAAATTATTTTGTTAGAGACAGTTAATTAATAAATAGATGTATTGATACATTTTACGCTATCAGGCATATGAATTTAAGTTAATAAGGTGCAAAAATAGTTTATTTCGTGACTAAAAAGAAATAAGTTTAGCATTTTTTTGCTCAGAAACGGTTGATTTTCGGACATAGGTTATAATGAACTTTTTTGTTTAGAATAATGCAAGGAATCACCTCTTAAAGTTACGAATATCATTTCCCTAACAGCCTGCGTATATCATATCGAAATATTATTTTACGATTGCAAATAATATCTGCAGGCGCTGGCGGGGTACGTGGCAACACCGGCTGCTGCTGAAGACTAAATCATCTTTCATCGTTGTACTAGGGGAACTTACTTGCGATTTTCTCCGCTCAAGTGTTTTTGACAGTGACAAGAGAGTTTCATAGCTGATTGTTATCTTAGCTATGCTTCAGCCATCGAATCCTCGAAAAATCATTGATAATCCAACAAAAGTACTTGTCTAATGCGTTTATATGTTCGCTTAAACTATTCCGTTGGAGCTGCTATATCCTTTAAGGAGAGCTACCTTGACACTCCTACTAACCCTATTCGACTTCCTGGTACTCCAGAGCCCCTGCTTCCAGGCTTACCACCTAAAACCCAGATCTCCCCATAGTTCAAGCGTTTTATTCCCACTATGCAAGAAAGAAGTGTAGTTTTCCCACAGCCTGAAGCTCCTAACAGAGCGTATCTGTAAATAGTTATGATCATTATATTCCTTTTTTATACTAAAGCTGCTGCGTAGTCAGAAACCTAAAAATTGGTAGGGGTATTACGTAAAAAATTAATATAATATCAAAAAAAGTCAGTATAATAGTCAACTTGTCTACGAGTACTAGGTAGCCGCCAGCCCATTCCGAAGAACGATACAAGGACCCATAGGACCTGCTTAGTGTTACCTATCGAGAATACCTCAATCAATGGTGTTACAGGTCTGAATGTTGTCTGATTTGGGAGTCAAGTTACAGGTCAAATCTCTCCATTAGGCAGGCACCATCAAGGCAGTGTTTCCGTTTAACTACGGATGATCATGATCTGTAACACTAAATACTGATGTTAATTAATGCTATAATATAAGATGAATGAGTTCATAACAAAAATAGAATGGACCTGGCACCTTCCTAAGAAACATTACCGAAAAACTCCGAGAGACTGCCACGCCTCTATATCAAATAATGAGCAAGTTACATGCTGCATCAACGCAGACTGAATTGCTATGCTTTTTTAGGTACTTAATGGTTATAGGTCTGTAACGTGCCAAAATCACCTTTTTTACTATTTCTATCATTAATTTCTTTTTATTAATGGTAGAGTACCCGTTCCTAGGCCAAACCCTTTTTAATGATTTTCTTTTGACAATTTTCATAGTTTATTAATCGTATAATTTCACACGTAATATATCTTTCTTTCTCAGCGATTCAGTATTGTGTTAAAATATTTTGGACACTAATGTTATAGTATTACTAACGACTATCTCAGAAATTTCCTCACAAAATATCGTTGGTCCCTCGTGGACTTGGTTCCGCCCACTGGCGCTACTCTGTAATTTCTGTTTACTAGCCTCTATAGGAATATTTGGTTTCCTGTCAAGATACATTCTCTCCCTATCAAGATACCTTCTTCACCGGTTTTTCTCCGCTCATTTTGGTTTCCCATCGAACATTCAACCCTCAGAGCGGGAAGGCATTGCGGAGAACCACCATTCACACTCCGCCGGCTTTGTTTTGTAGCTGTTTCGCAGATGATTTTGCTGGAAACCACCCCTCCCCCTTTACAATAATCCCGGATGCGTACAGGTAAAATATCATTTTAATTGAGTATTTTATAGATATTAATATATCTTAAGAGTGTAGTTGATTTTGTTTGGCATTTTACGTATTCAAATATGGGGCAATGCCTTCAGGGCACCTTCTATTGGGCATTACATTACATTGATCATGATTTTTATTTTTGAGCTGCCATAACTTTGTTTTAGGACAAGGGATAAATTGCTGAGGGTATATCACTTTAGTACATTTTAATATTTTTTGCTTTACTTTTCCTGTAAAAAAATGTACAAGGTTTTTTTCTTCAAGTTTGAGTGTTTTCAATGAGTAGTTTTGTCTAAGACAAAGAGTAGAGAGTAGATTTTTAAGCAGTCTTTCTCTAGGATTTTTTTATACCGTAAGTTTACCGTAAGCCTCTACCTTATACCCACTACTGGCCAATGGTTTTTTTTGACCTGAGCATTTGTGAGCTGAAGACATCTCGGTTGCGCCTAGAGCTGTAACTAAAAGAAGACCTCAATCTAGATAAGTTTAGGTTTATGCGCTAAAATATCTGTAAAGCCTTCGTACATGTACCATGGTAAACGTTTCGCATGGTTACTCATCAGGGTCAAGTAATTTTATTGGCAGGCATTTTTTAATAATATCCACCTTTTTTTAACTTGACTCCTGTGGTGGAGCATATGTGTTGTTTGATCGGCCAATATATTGTGATTTTTCTTCTTATTTTATTTGGCTCTCGGCGTACGATTAATTAGGTTACGTCCTTGCTGTTAAATTATTTTCTTTTGTGTGCCTTAATCTGTCTACTCTCTCCGTTTTATTGAGCTAGGGCCAAAATTTGCACGCCACTAGACAGCTGTTTTGCATTGGCTGATCTATAGATTTCATTTAAAGTGTTTTATTAATTTATTAATTAATAGAAAAAGTAAGAAAGAGGAATCACACCCACCACCCTCTTATTGGTAAAAAAAAGGCGTGGCAGATGTTAGAAAAATATGTGTGATATTGTGATACACCTCATACTCGGTTGAACTTTACCAAATCTATAGGAGGCAAAGACGCAAAAGTCATTGGAAACAACTATGTTCACCGATAAATTGGGAATTTTTTATTAGGTTGGGCACAGAAGTTACTTTTACTTTGAACACTTTGATTTCATGAAAGCCTTGCGAGGTGTGTAAATTGATTTTTCATAAAAATAGTTTCTGAGAAATAGGCCGATAAGGTTTGCGCGATTTGTAGAAGTGCTGAAGTGCCGATAGTAGTTCTCTGACCACATACTCGGTGAATCGGCTTACTTCAAGAAGTACTCCATTAAAATACTTTGTTCGAATGTGTTAAAATGTGTCATGCTGATTCTGACCACGATCCTTACAAAGCCAATTTAATGGCTGCTAGAATATATCTGGCACGAGTTGTTCGAGAGTTCAGCGAACTTAATAGGACAGATCGCTCGTTATTTTCTTGTTTTTGAGTATGACCCGAAGGGCCGCATCGTCAGTCGTTCCTACAATTGTAGGATGCCTTTATGGCTTGGTTGATTGTCATAGTTTTCTACTGTTCCGTGTCAGCACCCTATTTTGAGATTCTGTTACAAACATCTATTTGCATAACATTGTTGTTGCTTTTGATTTATATCATCTGTTATATCAGCCTGAAATCTCCTACAATTCAAAAAGGAAACATAGCCTCACAATATGAGAGCGCTGATGCTGACACGGAACAGTAGAATTTTGGAAATACCCCAGCCTTTCTGAAGGAGAGAGAAGACTGTGAAAATCAGGAGGGCATAAAGTCGTCCTATAGTTGTAGGAATGACTGACGATACGGCTCTTATACGGTCAAATCAAGTTCATGTTCTTGTGTGTACTTTACACTGGCCAATCAATGAAACCTTAGATGTTAAATTTACTAATTTAGTGACTTTTCAGCGATCTCGGCAGCTACTTCGACAGTACAAATCAAATTCATGACATAAAATAAATTAGACAATGACTTTCTTCCGAGAGACATACCTCATTTGTTTGAATGGCGAGTTAGACTATCAAGCGATCGAATATAGGTAAGTGCTACACTTGCATTTTTCATGAATTTGCATTTTAAGGATAATGGATCAATATGACATCTCCCAGCACCTTTCTACAAGGCTTTTTAATGAAACATTTCTTCCACAATAACAATACTCGAAGTATTTGAACTGCTAACTACAATTGAGACATTCACCATTTTTCCAACCCGGGCGAAGTTCATCCCCCTATTTCTCAGAAACTAACCATAGGATTGCTCTAGTCTCATCAAAACTTTTACTCAGAAAGGCGAAAAATATATCATACTGAATTCTGAGGCAAATGGACTGAAACCCATTTTATATGTTTTGTGCAGGGTCCTTTGAACTAGGGTACCGCTCGGCAACGCCTTGATTCACGTCAAGTCTCATCTAACATACGTGTTCATTTAAAAAAATTGAAGAAAATTTCTTGTATGAACACCAGGTTTCAGCCTTATCTAATAATGAGAGCCAGCTGGTTTTGAATCCCATTGGTCATCTATATCCATGAGCACCCGCAGGGGAGATCAGGAGGGCTGCGGCCAGCCTGGAATTCCGAATGAGCCTTAAAACTTGCAAATTTCGCAGGATTCTGTGTACAATTCTGAGAAATTTAGTATAGTAGTCTTAAAATTTTTTTGTTCACAATGTTATCCCTTGTTAATGATAGCCCCCCTTCCGAGAAAAATTCCTGCGGGCGCCCAAGTCTACATCGTATTTACTTACATGGTACCTTTCATCATAGTCATTTCCAAATCAGTGAACAGATAATGTGGCTTCCTGTAAGCCTTCCAGGCGTGTCTGACATACACAGCACAGTCATCCTTCTTCACATCTTCTGGTTTATTAGACATCATTTGCCACCGTTGATACGTTCGGTTCAATGGGGGCTCAACAACATAATATGAGGTATTATCCTAACTTTTGCTTACTGAAGGCAGTCGTTTGAACAAACGTCACATGAAATGGTTTGCAGTTTGACATATGCTAATCATTGTCAACATTTTCATGGTCATAATATTGGAATTCAACGTTCCAAATTTCAAATTACTTAGTTGTTCAAATTTCGCCGCACATGTAGTCACCGATAACTAAAATTGATATTTGGACATCAAGTTCGTATTGTGCTTTTTGCACCGGAAAATGGCGTCAAGTAGATTTTACTACCCACGGTTACTATGGATGCGAATTATGACGAAATTTCGCCTGTTTTCCAATGAGCAAGACCCTGGCAGCAACTAGCACGTCAGAATATGCAGATTTGATTTTCTCATACGATCTCCGTCTATTTTTGTATACTTTCTGCTTATTTTACCACGGTCAACGATAAATTGATAATTATCCTGTACGAGAACAGATTACTGCGGAATATGAGACAAAATTATTATAATAGAGATATTCCTAGGCAAAGTGGGAGAAACTCAACACTACCGGTAAGTATTTTTGGCAATTACCTAGCACAGTCTTTGTTTTTGCTGAAATACATTATACAGGGTGGGACATGAATTAGTTAACATTTGAAAAAATCGTATGAAAAAAACATTTGATATATTGTAAAAATTGTTTATTCACAAGAACGCTAATTAGTTGGAATCCATTTCTTGAAAATTATATTACGATTATATTACGATTTTTGCACTCTTCTAAACGTGTGCCGAAGATTCGAATACTCGTCGGAATAAAGACTGCGAGATCGCCGACATCTCGTCGTTGATGTCTTCTTTTAGTTGACGGAGTGTACTTGGTTTATTGATGTAGACACGACTCTTTAAATAACCCCATAAAAACAAGTCTGGTGGGGATACATCTGGACTTCTGGGTGGCCATGGGAGGTCGCCTCGTCTGGAAATGAGCTTTTCCGGAAACAATTCTTTGACCACCGGCAGGGACTCGTTGGATGTGTGACACGTGGCTCCATCTTATTGAAACCATGTGTTACAATTAGCGCCTGCAAATTCCAGTAGCATTGGTGCCAAGAACACTCGTAACATTTTCACATACTCAGCAGAACTAACAGTAACTGAATGGCCGAGAATCTTCAAAGAACTAGGGGCCAATGATTCCTTTTGCTGAAATTGCAGCCCATACAGTTACTTTAGGAGAGTAAAGTGGCTTCTCGTATTTAGCTTTGGGATTTTCGCTGCTCCAGTACTTGCAATTCTATTTATTCACATGTCCGTCGAGGTGGAAATGGGCTTCGTCAGAAAATAAGAGATTGTCAAAGTTACTGAATCGAGCTAACATCGTTTCGGCATACGACTTGCGCAAATTTAAATCATTAGGTTTTAGTTCCTGCACTATCTGGATCTTTTATGGATGTAATTTCAAATCTAATCTCAAAAAACGGTGTAATGATGTGCGGGATAATTCTAATTCAGCCGAACGTTTGCGCGTCGATAAATCTGGATCACGTTGAACAGAAGCGGAAACTTGCTGCTGGTTCTATTCGCTCCGAGCAGTCCGTGGGCCGCCGGTTTGCTTCACATTCAGTGTAGATCCCGTCTCTTCGAACTTCTTCACCCATTTCTTTATCAAAGGAGCACTCGGACACTGACTTAAGTCGTGTAAAGTGTATTCAACGCGAAATAAGCGTCTCACAGTAATGAGCGAACTGTTGTTTGAATAAAATTGTTTCACACAGTAACGCTCCTTTCACATTCAACGATTTCGCTCATGCGGGAAAAAATCGCCCGATTTTTAATCGTGGCATGACTGGAAACTTCTAGTGTGAAAGCGTCCATTTGGTCCTAGACCACTGAGCTAGAGGGCGATACGGTAGCCGTACGGTTCTAGTGGCACTGGACGGCTGCAATGCGTTTAGAAAACGTGCCCGTGTGAAAGGTCTCGTGCTCTTCAACTGTCGATCAAGAAAAATTGCCCGGGCGTTTTTTTCCCGTACGAGCGAAATCGTGTAATATGAAAGGAGCGTAAGCACGTTGCAGCCCCGTGAAGCGATCCATTGCGACTGAATTTCCGAGAAACGAGCTAGCGACTAGCCCCCTCCCTGCGCTTCGCGCGGCATCTGTTTGCGTGGTGTATTAAATTTAAATGTTAGGTAACGAATTCTTGGTCCACCCTGTATATACATTTTTGATGCTTTCTTCTATCTGCTTCAGTGGGTAATGAAATGATTCTGGTCTCACCTTGTAATACTCAAATGGCTTTTGCGGTTGGTCCAGCAATTCATGAAATAACATTTAAAACTATGCTTTGTCGCCTCTGCTAAGAAAATGAAATTCGTCACCTTCGTTCAGATTTCCTGTGGTAGAAACGTACTATCAAAATGTCAGAAAACGCACACAGTGTAACCGCCTTGTTCTGACGAGAATCGCGGACGTACTCGACAGAACAAAATTACGTCAGAACAGAATTCGCATCCATAGTAATGCTTTTGAGGGTAGCTCCAAAAACAGGCACGCAATTGTACGCGCTGATTGAATACAGCGGAGAGCACAGATTTCTTGAAATACTGCCATCCACTATTACTGCCGACCTTACACCAATAATGACAAGTACAGACTGATCTTAAAAATGTTTCAGAAATAGAGTTATGTGGTGGTTATTGGTGTATTGGTATTGGGTGCATTTCCGTACACGGAGGACAAAATTTACAACCTAAAAATATTGGGATAAAATATACTTTTAGCTTGTTTAAAAGTGTACCAAGACTGATTTAATTCCAATAATCTTATTAATTATAAAGTGTTGCTATTGTCGTGTTTTGCAACTAGTTGTAGGTAAATATCAGTCCTTTTGATTTTACGGCCAAAGGGACCATGATTTTCAAAAATTAATCTTACAATCAGTTAACAGTACAAAATAATAGCGAGAAAACGGCGAAGGAAACTACTTTCCGTAAATAATTTCTTTTATCTATGAAAACCTATAAAAAGTACTAGAATTCGGACGAAAAAAGAAGAAAATAGTCTTAGATATGCCACGATTTTAAGCCTCCTGAGATAGTGGCAGGCACTAAGTTTACTAATTCCAAGTCCTATTTTTATTTTCCTGAGCCTGCTTCCTGCTAGGGAGATGGTTAAGGTAAATAAAGTCAGGAACTATACTAAGTGACATATAAATCCGAACACCCAGTTTAAATGGTTTTATTTTAATAAAATTTTGTATAAGTACTTAATGAAGCATAATAAGTAAATGATAAACATTTCAAAATGATTGCACTGCTTTAAAGCCCTTTGACCTTTAATAATGTGTGGATGCACCCTGATGTGCTACGCATTCTCCAACGCGCCTAGGCATGCTTCTGATCAGGTGGTCAATGTCCTCCTGTGGTATCTCATTCCAGGCAACCACCAACTCCTCTCGAAGTGCTTCTAGAGTCTGAGGAGGACGTTGCAAATTGAGCAATCTCCTACCCATCATATCCCACACGTGCTCAATTGGGGATAAGTCGGGAGATCTTGGTGGCCATGGTAACAATGTGACATCATTATGTTGAAAGAAGTCTATTGTGACTCTTGCAACATGTGGTCGGGCATTATCTTGTTGGAAAGTTGGATCTGCCAGGGTGTCAAGATAGGGTAAAAGATGGGGTTCTAGAACTTCGTGGATATAACGCTGCGCGTTCATGTTACCTCTGATGAAGATTAAAGGTGACCTGGAACCATAAGCTATAGCACCCCAAACCATAACTCCAACAGTGTGATGAACATGTCTTTCAACAAAAAACTGTGGATTCCTCCTTTCACCACGTCGCCTTCTAAATATTCATTTTTAGAGCGTTAGTGAATTAAAAAAAAAAGCAGTATAAAAACCGGAATGTCCAACTGATAAGGCTGAAATTTTTTTCACTTGTTATTTACAGTAAGATAAATACATTCACCAACTTTTATTAAAATAAAACCATTTAAACTGGGTGTTCGGATTTATATGTCACTTAGTATATTACAGGACGCTGAAAATCGCGGCACAGCCAAGACGATTTTCTTCTTTTGTGCGAATAACCTTACTTTTTATAGTGGTTTTCGCAAATAAAAGAAATTATATACGGAAAGTAGTTTCTACTGCCGTTTTCTGGCTGTTATTTTGTACTGTTTGCCGATTGTAAGTTTAATTTGTGAAAATCATGCTGTAACATGCAAACCAAAAAGAGTGATATTTACCTCTAACGAGTTGCAAAGAAGAAGTGCAAAAACAATAGCGAAACTTTATAATTAATAAGATGATTGGAATTGAGTCAGTCTATGTACACTTTTATTTGTACGTACGTATCTAAAGCTATTCGTACACTTCAACTCAAAACAAAAAATCCTGTCGTGTTTCTGTCGTGTTTTTGTTTGACACTTTTTGCTGTATCTCTAAAAATAAAGTGGTGGGAGGTATTCAACAGTTTCCACAAAAAACACCATGCATCTTCGAAACGGCTGAGCCGATTTTAACAAACTAGTTTTTATTTTTTTGAACTATTTTTCTGGAATTTCTTTTTATTATTAAGTTGCGGATCGATTTAAATAATGAAGGTTTTTAGTGCCCCCGTAAATGCTTGAAATGCTGACATCACGCTCTATGCATTCCTGAAGCCCCTCATGGATATACAAAACTACAGCTTCAATTTCGGCTCTCGGTATGTTACCTATTGCATTACGATTGCGATTCTTCTCTGGTTGTAGGTGAGTCTGAAACGCGATATCCTTTTATCGTCCCAATAAATAAATAAATTAAGAGAAGTTAAGTCTGGTGATCGCGAAGGCCATGGAAACCGACTTCCTCTTCCAATCCACCATTTTGAAATACTGCATTAATATGCTCTCGCACAATAATAGCAAATTGTACTGGGCAACCATCTAACTGCAAACAAAAAACGCATCAACGCTTTAATAAAAATTTTCATGAAAGATGTCACATGACGTATCACGCCAATAACATAACTGGATTTATTTTTATGAAATTTGTTTTCCTAGATTTTAGCAACGAGCGTGCACCGTACACGATGGCGTTCCCTCTTTGGAGCTGGAGTGTTAAAACGTTTGTCACTATTTTTTGATAACTGATTATAA